TTCTCATAAAGTCTCTGTATCTCCTAATGATGAGTCCGCCAGAACCATATCTAAGTTTCTGGACATGCTTAAAGCATATCAATATTTTAAGTGGAATGCCGATGAACTTGAGTGTTGGATCAATGAAAAATTGCAAATATATACAAATGAGAATTTTAAAGAACTCAGTAATCTTCAGCTGAAAAAACAGGAACATCAAGAGTTTGAGTTCGAAGTAACAGTTCATGCTGAAACACTCTTAGCTCTAGATTCTACGGGAGAAGAAATGATTGGTCAGGGACACTACGCAACAGATATTATCAAAAACCGTCTTGATGAATTGCATGCCCTGTGGGAAAGGTTTATGGCTATTTTCAGAGAAAAATCACGTCTTATTAACCTAACGCTTAAATTTGTCCAGTTATCACGCCAAGTTGACGAGATACTTTTCTGGATACGTGAAAAAGAAACTTACGTAACATCAGAGGATTTAGGTCAAGACTTGGAAGATGTTGAGACACTTCAAAAAGGGTTTAATGAGTTCACAAAAGATCTCGAGAATCAAGAAAGCCGTGCAGAAGACATCTATCGGAAGGCAGATGAACTTCTAAAAGAGAAATTTCCTGAGGATGCCCTAGTGATAGAAAAGTCTAGAGAGGTCCGCAAGGCTCTAGAACGTCTGAAGGGTCTGACTAGAAAACGACAAGAAAAGCTCCTGGAAGCCTATGAGATACAGCGCTTCTTTAGAGACATAGTTAGAGCTATATCGTGGGTGAATGAAAAGTCCATTCCTTTATCCATTGAGGACTGTGGTCGTGATCTTGCCTCAGTCCAAGCCTTACAAATGAAGCACGAAGCATTAGAAAGGGATTTGACTGACACAGATGGAAAGATTGTTCAACTTGGAGATGATGCTAAGGCGCTTGCACAGAAGCATCCTGATTTGCAAGACACTATACAAGGCAAGTATGACGTCTTAATTACTACATGGGATAAGCTGAAAAGTCAGGCTGTAGATAGGAGAGGTAAACTGGAAGAGTCATTCAAGATGCATCGCTTTTTGGCTGACTGGAGAGACGTGAGTATCTGGATGAATGAAATGAAGACGTTAATATTGACGGATGATTTGGCAAAGAATGTAGCTGGTGCTGAAGGCCAAGTAGAGCGACATAAGGAATACACCGCTGAGATAAATTCTCGAGCTGAAAGTTTCGATACATGCATGCAAGAAGGTCAGGCATTACTAAGTGTTGGCCATCCCTGTAATGGAGACATAGCTGCTAAACTTTCCACCCTTGAAAGAGAGAGAGCCTCCTTGATGCAGTTGTGTGAGGAAAGACGTGAACAGCTAGAACAGTGTATGGGCCTTCAGTATTTTTACCGCGACGCTGAACAGTCGGAATCTTGGATTGGTAAGCAAGAGGCCCTCTTAGAAATAAATGATGTGGGAGACTCACTCGATTCTGTGGAATCACTTATAAGGAAACATGAAGACTTCGAAAAGTCACTTTTAGCACAAGAAGAAAAGATGCGACAACTTAATGAATTCGCTGCAAACTTAATCGAGTCAAACTACTATGCGGCTGCACAGGTTCATGAGATTCAGGAAGGTCTTCAAAGCAGACGAAATGCATTAAAAGAGAAAGCTCAGAACCGCCGTCAGCATCTTCAAGATTCCCACCGTTACCAAATGTTCGATAGAGATGCAGGCGAAATGCAGTCATGGATATCAAGAAAACTTAAAAATGTACTTCATGAAAGTTACAAAGACTCCACGAACTTGCAAACAAAGATGCAGAAGCACCAGAATTTCGAGGCAGAAATACAAGCGAACCAATCCCGCGTCAAAGATATTAAAAAGACAGGTCAGGATTTGTTAAATGCAAACCACTACAACTCGCCAGAAATAAAAGTAAAGATTGAACAGTTGGATGAAACTTGGTCTCATCTCGTAAATGCCATGGGAGACAAGAAGAAAAATTTAGATCAAGCAAGTAGGCAATAACAGTTCGCTCGCAACATAGAAGATGTCAAGTTATGGTTGAATGATGTTGAAGCTCAGATAGCCTCAGAGGATGTCGTTCGTGATCTAAACGGTGTGATGAACGCACAAAAGCGGCACAACTTGCTTGAATCTGATGTAGCTACTCATCGTGAACGTATAGATGCATTCAAAGTCCAGGCTGACACGCTTGCTGCAGAAAGTCATTTCGACGCTCCTATTATCCAAGAAGAACAAAGACAGTTAGCCCAACGTTACCATGACCTGCAAATCCCTCTAAGTCAACGTCGTGAGAAGTTAAGAGATCCCCTTCCCTCGGACACATCTTTGCAGCTTGAATATGGTGACTATAGTGAACTGATGAAGTTACTAGTCGATTGTTGTAAAGATTTTAAAGCACATTCGCTTAACCAAATCGAATCAGAAATGTGGCATCAGTATGCTGAAAGCTTCACTACTGGTTCAGTAGCCACTCACAAAGATGCCTTCAGGTTATGGGTTAAAGATAACAACCCTGTTGTTGAAAAGTATATTGGGTTTATAGAGTCATACCGTGATCCCTTTGGTGTTCGTGCAAGGTTTGAATCATTTGTCGCTGTTGTAAATAGATCAGTGTCTAAAAATTTCCAACGACTTGTAAATAATGCTGAAAGGTTGTTAACAAGTTTACCATGGCCTTCTACGTTTGAGAAAGTTAATTCCTCACAGCCAGACTTTACTAGTTTGAATGTGGTTACGTTTGCAACTGCTGGGATTCCTGTTGGAACTAATACTCCTAACTATGATGATGTACGACAAGTTGATGGATTTAAAAATGTTTCTTTGGATAATGTACTTAGTGTTCGTCTCGAGGATCCTAAACCAGAATTTCTACGTAATGAAGACAAACAAATGTACGTGGAACATGCTGAAAGTTCCTTTGAATTACAAGTTGGACTTCATGAACTGATGGGATATGGTTCAGGTAAACTGTTTTGGCGTGATTGTTATGGAAAACGAAATTTACACACGAAAACTACTGAATATGTCATAAATGGAGGTCCTGTAAAAGGTTGGTGTGAAGCAGGAGGAACGTATGACAGCAAGTTTTCAAACCTTTCATCTGCAATAGACAAGTGTCAAGCTGAGTGCGTTGGAATTTATTTGTCTGATTTACCTATTGTTCTGGAGCAGTTCTGTCTGAATACCGACTGTGCTCAAGGCAATGCCCCAGATGCAGTCTATATTAATTGGTTGTCAATGATTCCTTCAGTTGTAACTTCCATGGAGTTTTATTCTCCAGCAGAAAATGCTAATGACATTGGATCATGGTGTCAAGCACGTTATTGTGCTTATTATGCGATTCTGCGAGTTTCGATTGAAGCTGACGATTCTATGGGACGTACGCATAAAGTAGTCGGTGAGGACAATGCATCTGATTTGTGTATTTCCTTAGTTCCAAAAAGGCCTTTAACGTCGGCTCGTTCAGCAATTGGTGAATTCTTAAGAAAATTACAGTATTACAAAGGTAAAGCGAATGCTATGTATGGATATGCTTTCTCCCAATACTATAGTCAACTACTTCCAAAATATTTGACTGATTTGCTCTGGCATAAATGGCTACGTGGATATCTTCTGATGCTGCAAACAAGATCTAAGTGGTTGGATATAAAGCACAACCTACAACCTGATGATCTCGTCTTAGTTAACAGTGCTGACACACAGAGAGGTCTCTGGCGAAAGGCTATAGTTAAGCAGATGTACTATGACCAAGATGGCCACGTCAGGACGCTGTGTTTGAAAACTTCAACTCAAGAAATGGAACAAGATATAAGAAGCGTACGAAAGGTCAACGTGGTGGTCGTTCGCGGGGAGTGTTAATCGCGACAGATAGATAACTGTATGATAAACAGCCAATCAATATTATGTGACCTTTCTTGTCGCGATTATTGGCCAATTTATTGTAACTCTCACCACGTGATGACCTTGAATGTTCTTTTTTGTCTGTCACTTTACTTGTATATACATGTAATTAATTGACTGTTCATTTTGTCCGTACCTTCAATACTGTTCGGTACGTTTTTGTCCTACTTTTGTAATGACAATGGATTTGTACATTTTTCTTGGTGTAATTGTATGGTTTATTTTATGTTTTAGAAACAGATAAAGTTAAAGTCAAGTTATTCTGTTTTAACTATTGCTAAGCCCAGACTCTGTGTCGTCAGTATTGAGGGAGGACTAAATCTGTAGGATAAAAATAATCCTACAGACGTAGTCCAGTCCTGTAGCAGCATCTTACATTTCACAGGGGTGAATCGCATGCCAAACATTCGAAGATTACTGCTCAAGGTGTTCAGAAGACTCTGCATTTTGTCAGCATCCTCCCCTAACAGGACAATGTCATCTGCATATTCTAAGTCCATAACACTATTCCCTGGTAACAAGTCGATTCCTAAGTCGTTAAGTTCAGTTAAGGATACTTCCATTAGCATATCTATGATGAAGTTAAACAGAAAAGGGGAAAGTGGATATCCTTGACGCACACCACTGGTTGTTAACAATTCAGATGACAATTCCGCATAAGCCCTTACACGGCTACGTGAGTTTGAGTAGAGTGCCTTGATTAGTGTAATGTACTTGGCCAGAAAGAAATAGTAACAAGAAACTCTGGCTGGCTGGTAACAAACCAACAAGCAAGAGCCGATCGTTGCACAAATATGTAGGAGAAAGTGGAGATGGATTGATCGGGAATACGTCATTGAGGAGGCCATCGAATAACATCGCAAACAATGCAGGCCATTGATCGACCGGAATCCCGATGGAAAAGGACGAATGGGTCATCATATATCGAGGAGATCGTGCGATTTCAAGGCGACGAGAGATTATGGGCAATCGTGTACGCAGTGCCAGATGAAGACGACAGTACCGTATAGAACAAAGTGGGGATGTATTATTGAATCCCTATATCTACATAAACCAACCACAAACTTATCATTACTACTCGAAGTATTTCAAAAATTTCGATAGAACTCAAAGCGTATAGCAAAATATAATGGGATTGTAATGAAAATAGACACACCCACACAAACAAACAACTGAAATGAACATGAATGGAATGAGAAGAAAGAAAAAAAAAAGTGAGAAAACGTAAAAATCAATCATCATCATTATTAAAACGCAAATTAAAATTTTTTTTAAAAAAATGTGTTGTTCAACATGTTTTAACACACACACATGTGTTAATATTTCACAATTCAGTTTCAGATTGATGAGAGAAGTTCAATGAATGAATCAAAGTTGTTTGATGTTAGTAATACATAAACATAAATGGACTGTATTGTTATTAAATCAATGAAATATTACGTAATAATATTTAAAGGCAGAACTTTCCATCTACAGAACATTGTTTTGACTTTGCACAGAAGGTATCCACACTGGATCCACAACATTTAGCCTAAAATCAGAGATAAAATTGAAGCACACATACAACAATAAGGCGTTAAAGAAAATACAAAAATTTTGCATCAATATAGACACTAATTCGCAATAACAAAATGCAACCGACAGTTTTGACATTGTCGTCAGTTAATTATGATATTATTATTGTTTCCTTTAATTCCTACAGGAACATAGGGCTTCAGCCGTGCGTCTCCATTGCGTTCGGTTCTCTCCTAGAGTCTTCACCTGGCTCCAAGTCTGTCCACACCCTTTCATCTCCTCGTTACATGACCTCCTCCATCTCATCCTCGCACTAACGACCAACTCGCCGCTTCCCTTTCGACCAGGTTCCACTCGAGCAATGGCTTGTCTAGTGATGTCACTTGATGGTTTCCTCAGAGTATGGCCAGCCAATCCATCTCCATTTCTTCCTGCCTATTTGTTTCACAATCGGTCCCTGATTGGTTGGTTCGCTCATTGCCAGAGATCCCTGTTGCTGATCTTTTCTGGCCGGCCATCTGATCTTGAGTATTGAGCGAAGACAACTGTTAATGAAGGTCTGTAGTTTGTTTGAGATGCTCTTTATGACGCGCAGTGCAAGTCTCTGATCCGTATAGTAGAACTGACTGACTTCACATTTGAGTTGAAAATCAGGATCTTATTTTCGATGCTGAGTAGTGCTGTTGACCTCCACACAGACTTGAGAGTAGTGAAAGCTTGTCAGTTTATATACACGTATATCAATAAATCAAGGGCTATAGAGAGTCAGTCAGAAACGAACTCATTCCTGACCAAGAACTAGAAGTTAGGAAGAAAGTGTCACTTGAGGATATAATGCTGGGAGTGTAGGTAGGTAGCTATGCCTGACGACTTCCGCAGTATTTAAATTCCTCCTCCAAGGGAAAATATACAAACAAACTGAGGGAGTTGCTATGGGGTCACCAATATCCACGGTTGTGGCAGATATATATATTCATGGATAGGTGGGAAAAGTTAGCGATTGAAACGTTGAGCTCCACACGCCAAAAGTATGGTGGAGGTGGTGTGCAGATGACACATGCACTGTACTTAGAACACAGGATGTAAATAGATTTTTCGAACAAATTAACTCAAAGGTGGAGGCAATTCAATTCACTTATCAATTGGAAAGTGGGGAAGGGGAGCTTCCAATGTTAGATTGCAACTTAAAAAGGAAAGAACATGGAAAGTTAAACACTAGTGTGGGTTTACCGGAAACGCACACATTCAAACAGATATTTGGATTTCTGATCATCCTATCCTATGTCAGTAAAAGTAGGATTGGTGAAATGTTTAAATAATAGAGCACAAAAACTAGGTAGTACCAACGAAAATCTAGGACAGGAAGTGAGACATATAAGAGAAGCTTTGAAACTTAATAATTACCCTGATAAATTTGTCAGAAAGTATGTAGGGAAATGTAAAAATAAAATAAATAATGATAGTAGTGATGATAGTGATAACAATAATAATAGTAATACTAATGACGACATGCATGTCAAACATGCGCAGGATAGTGACAACACCAACAATAGGGAATCTAAATCATCAGTAGTACTTCCTGGCATACAAAGAAGAAACCTCAGAAATCACCTTACGTAGAATTCTTAAGAAGGCAGGAATAAAAGTGGCTGGCATTCAAATCCACAAAATCTATCAGAAACAAGCTTTGTCGGTTGAAGGATTAATCCTGTGGAACAATTTAGTTTATCTAATACCCTGCCTGGAATGATTGTCAGGTCAAATACATAGGTCACAGTGGTAGAACAGGTGCAGTCAGACTAGCCGAGCATAAAAACCCAGCAGCTAAATCTAGATTATTTGACCCGAATAAGGTAAGAAATCTAGAGAATAGTTCAGCCATAACACTCACCACATGAAATTACACACAACCATACAGCATAGGATGATGGGATAAGATGACAGTTTTTAAATCTAATGTAACAGGGTGGAGGGAGACATTGATAACGGAAGCCTTATTTATCGAATCAACTGAAAACACTTGTAATAGGAATGATTCAACACCTGTCCCAGATATCCGAAAGATTCTGCTACCCCTACGACGACAAACAGGAGAGAACAAAGAAAACTATAAAACGCAAGTTTCGAAGTCGTGTGATTATAATGGATGAAATTATTATGAACAGCAATATATTTTGTTCGAAACTTCGTCATCCAGTTGAATAATACTGTTCCACTGTGTGTGTGTGTGTGTGATATATCAAATAAACAAACTAATATGGAAAATCAATAAAAGTTCAACAGTCCTATGTGATTGTCAAAGGTGGAGTAAGGGAACAAAAGCTGAAATCCGGTTGTCGTCTATTGCATGAAAGCCTGAGAGTACTGGACAGCCAGCTGTTTCATCCTAGTTTGGGGATCACCGGCAGTTTTATACATGGAAATCTTCACATGGTCTAATAACCTACTTCACACTCAGGAATTTTTAAAAATATGCAAAAACAGTGTACACATACACACACACACTCATACAAAAAGCATACCTCTTTTGGTGAACAAGTATAACCGAAACGCCTAGAAGGACAACATTGTTCAGATTTACCGCAGAAATGCATATAATCTGGACAGATGGTATGCAATCCTTGTTTCAGGGATCGATATCTCTCATAGCTATATAATAATAAGAAGAAGAAAAGAAATAAAATGATAAAAATAAATTCCAATGGAAATGGTTTTTGTTAAATAAAACAAAAGCAATAATAATTAAACTATGAACGGGTGTATGAATTATTTTTATTCGCTTTGAGTTACCAGTGGAATATAGGGAGTTTAAGCTTTGAGCACTGAAGTCTCAGTAGATGTGGCATTGTATTTCTAAGGAGGGGTTGAAGGAAGGCGCGTTGCTAGACTCACACATTCAACCTTCACTTCCTTATCCAGCTTATTACTTACCTACCTGCATAGAGAGGTTGTAAGTACGTCAGCACCGAATCGAACCTCGGACCACATGAGAACCTGATGATTGGCGAGCATTCTACCAGATCACCGACATACATGGAAGCGTATGGCCAGTTACTCTAATTCCTGTCTTTAAATATAACTGAAACAAAAAGAGTTTTAGTGATGTATGTCTGCGAAGGCCAGGGTACAACTGATTCAGACTGGTCACATATAGCCTGCTTGAAGTGGTGGTCTTTGGAATTACGTCCATATCAAGATCCTAACCTCCATCTACGGACGACCACATCGTATTTCTGGATAGTTTTACTTTCAGGATCAACATTCCGTAACCCCATCCCCTCCAGGGCAGAAAGACAGCAGAGCTGGTTTGCTAGTTGTCCAAAGGAAACATACTTTACTGCTCTAACATCCTTATTTGGCAGTAAGTAGTAAGACTTCGCTCATAAACCCTCTCCCACACAATGTCAACGACTTACACTATGATGGTAACTGTTTTTAGTCTAATCACTATTCGAACAACCCTTCTGGCATGATAGGACCTGCAGGAATATTCATTCTAGCCAGTGTAGTTCCTATCGCACTACGATATGCAAACCAAACTGTCATGCGTGTCAAGGTACTAACTATTGGTTAAGTATTACGTTTTCAAAAAAAAGGTGTATTCTGAAAAATTACACTCAGATGACTTATTATGAAAGAATAACATGTTACCAGAATGGAATCTGTAGCTTTCAGAAAGGCTAATCATACTTCTACTATTATTATTATTCACTATCTGGCTGGGTCCACGATTTCCCATAATCTCTCAAGACAAGGCTGTCTACTATCTCCAATGATTTTGCTGATTGAGGTAGACTGGATAATGCGACAGACAGCGGTGGGCAGTGAGGAAACAGGCATAAAATGCACCCATGCAAAAAACTTGGAGGATCTGGACTTCACCGATGTGATATATGTCTGATTTCCCACAAAATGGAAGATATGTAAGTGAAAAGCAACATGTTGGCAGAACAAGCATCAAAGATAGGACTTCCTTAAGGTGAACATAGAGAAAACACAGGTGATGAAGATTCCTCGCCAACGGCAGCAGCAACAAAAACAGACAACAATCAGCGTAAATGAGAGAAATCTGAAAGAAGTAACCTCTTTTATCTACCTACCGACATGGGAAGCATCGTTCCAATTACACGTGGACGGAACTGATGAGGATATCAACGCGAAGATCAGGAAAGCAAGGCAAGCATTCATTACTCTCAAGTTTGTGTAGAGATCAACACCATACACAGCATGAAAAATGAAAGCCGGATTTTGAACTCCAATGTGAAATCAATGCCACTATAGGGATCAGAGACTTGGCGCCGCGTCACGAAGGGCACTTCGATGAAACTACAGATCTTCATCAACAGCTGTCTTCGCTCAATACCACTAAAGATCAGATGGCCGACCAGAAAAGATTAGCAACAGGGATCTCTGGCAATGAACGAACTAACCCAGCAGTAACCGATTGTGTGACAAATACTCAGGGAGAAATGGAGGTGGATTGACCATACTCTGTGAAAACAATCCATCATTAAGTGACATCACACGCCAGGCCATCGCTCCAGTGGAACTCGAATGGGAAGCGACGAATTCGTCGTCAGTACGAGGGTGACATGGAGGAGGTTATACGAAGAGGAGATGAAAGCATATGGGCAGACGTAGAGCCAGGTGAAAACGTTGACGAAGAGCCGAATGCAATGGAGATGTGCGACTGAAGCCCCATGTTCCTCTAGGAACCAAAGGAGACAATAATAATTTGAATCTAAGAGAGAATAAGGTTATTCTTCTCCGTCGTTTGAAGTTTCAATAGCGATGAGGTTGCTTTTTTACGAGGTAAGTGGGGTTGTTAATCCCAACCTTCCTTCTTGTTTATGTTTAGGACCGGCAAGGAAGACTTCCACATCAATTGGAAAGAATAATCAACATGAAGTTCTAGGCACAAAATAGTCAGAGTAGAAATGTGGGTCTCACAATCCAGAGGATTCCATTTTGGAATTAATATCACAGACGGAATATATGCCGTTCATCATTCGGATGAAGGTACATCCAACTGATAGATCATAAACGGGAGGTGTAAAGCATATCATGGAGTGACAATTACCACTTGTCACCAACTTCTAGACTATTTTCTCCATTCAAATCAGCATCAATGGTGATTTCACTATCAAATAGGTTCAGTTATTGTGTAACTCTTGTGTGTTCTCCTCAATTGGTTATCACATGAAGATTAGAAAAGAGCAATACTCAGTAAGAGATTATCGTTGAATCCAATTCTCACAAATAGCTATAGGCGAAATTCGGATGTTTTCTGTTTGAACCTACTCGTCTCTCTGAACTGAAAGTTTAAACTGGCTACACTACACCACTGATTAGATCAGTGTCACCACCCTAAGCAAGCGAAACACAGTCATCCGAACTTTTAAATAATTTTGATTTGGCTATCAAGCACTACTTTGATTGATGTGAGTAGTATCTATAACTACTCATAATAATCAGTCGATCAATCAGTAGTATGCACTATAGTGTATATGGATGACTCATACACATAAACAGCGAAGGTATACTATAGGCAACAGTCTATTTAATCGTATGTATTTTGAAAAAAAATCTAGCCATAAGAATGTGTAACGCAATATAAATGTCGTTTTTTTTAATTTGACAAATTATTACTTATCACGTGATTTCATATGAATGTCGTGAAGCAATAAATCTATATATAAATATAACAGTCTAATCTTCATTCCAAGTTGAAACAACTCACAATTCACAACAGTTTGAAATCAATTGAAAATTGAACAGTATAGGAGACTTTTTTCTATACTCTCTTAAGCATATTCCTAATGGTAGCATTATACCATATAATAACTACACTGGAGTGTTCGTCGTACAGTGGAGTTGTGGTTCACTGGTTCAAGGGTCCGAGTCCCGGGACTACCACCTACCCCCAGATTTGGGAAGTTTGGCAGTATAACTACAACCCTCATATATATATATATATACCATAGGTGTGGCTCATTATCAGTTGTTCATGGAGTTGCAAGTAGTTCTTGAATAATATTGTGCGTCGATGGCATAACGGAAGAATGCTCGCCAACCACGTCGCGCATGTGGTTCGGGGTTCCATCCCCGGCCACTGGACGCACTCATTTACTTCGCTAAGCCAGTGATAAAACTGGAAAACCAGGGAAGGTTGGGTATGAGGCTGGTTAGCAACCCCATTCTGTAAAAATAATAAACACCACTGCTACCGAAACTGCAAAGCTCTAACTTGAAACCGCATGTTCCACTGGGAACGTAAAGGAATAAAAAAAAAGAAAAATTGCATAATATCAACACTAATCAACATTAGATTGTGCAAAGTAGCCACTGAGAGTACCAGTAGAATTGGATGACAGTGGCACTGTCGTGAGAATCGACACGATAATAAAATTCCATGAGTCATTGGGTTTCAACTCGGTGGTTGAATAGTCAGCCCGATAGCCATGTAATCGGAAGATATTGGCTGGTGGTCGCGGTATGTCGTGCATGAATTGGCAGAAGTTAGAATTCATGGACTGGTCACTGGATCGTGTCCGAGTGGCTTAATGATCTAAGAGTTCACTAGCCTTGCAACCGGAATGTCCTGGGTTCAAACCTTAGCTGTGGGGTGGGTGCGTACTGCTGAAGAGTCCCAAACTAGAACGAAACAACTGATTCTCCAGTACTCCCTGCAGGTTTTCCAATGGTTCTCTAACCAATGTCAGTTCATGATGAAATCCTGGAACCAATACAGTTAGAATACAAGTGCATTTTTCAAATCTTTATCAATCACATTCAACAGCTATATGACAATGCCACATGTTGTTAAGTGATTCACAATTCAAAGTTCGGCAAAGTCTGTGAAGTGAAGACACGAGTTAGACAAGGTTGCTTAATATCATCAGTGATATTCCTCATCGTGGTCGACTAAATCATGTGGCAGACAGTGAGGTGGGGAGCGAGGAGACAGGAATACATTGGACTGATAGGAAGACTCTGGAAGATTTGAACTTCATGAGCGACTTGTGTCTCATGTCATACAAACTCGAAGATCTACAGGCGGAAACCAGCACGTTACCATGAGAGAAAAACCAGCAAAGACAGGACTTGAAGTGAAGATAGAGAACGCAGAACATAAAGATGACAAAGACGCCTAAGCAACAGCAACAAACATCAATTACTATCCATCGGGGAAATTTCAAAGAGGTCACTTCTTCCACTTATCTAAGCATCATCGTTTCAATTACAGGAGACAGCACGGATGAAGATATCAAAGCCAGTCAGGATTGGAAAGGCGTGATAAACCTTCAGTACTCCTAAATTAATGTGAAAATATGCTGTACTAAGCATAAAGAACACGATTTGCACTTTCAACACAAATGCCAAATCAGTTAGTGTTTTCTATATGGTTTAGAGACTTGGCGTGCGCGTCATTAAAAGCAATTCCAACAGGTTTCATGATTGAATGACTCACTGGTTTCAACATACAACTTTGTACAGATGTTCACCGGTTCGAGTTGCAACTCTCCTCCCATGTACTACCACACAAAGCAAGAGAACACAGTAAAGAGAGATTCAAAAGTGAAATAGTAAACAGAAGTGTGCCGGGGGGAGAATTAAATTGTAATATGAAGAGTTTTGTTGGATATGATAAATCACATGGACTGAATGCATCTGTGCCAGCCATTGACAACGATTTTGGGCCATAACACCAATTGTCTCTGGTCTTCATTGGTATTGGTTCTTGCCATCCCCATGACCCCAACCAATCAGTCAGGAAGTCCACACCTCCCTATGTGGCCGGTCAGCTGGCTGACTTTACCTAATCGGTGTGGATTTCATTGACTGATACTCCCATGGTTGGTTTGACCATCACTAGCTAACTCCTTTCCAATCTGATCCGTCAGCAATGTCAGCTAACATTGTCCGTTGTCGAGGAAGGCGATCAATGGTTGGACATGCATGCGTAACACATTTCCTAACCAACTCTTTCAATCGATGTAACTTCACAACCTCGTCTATTGATTTCCCCTCCCACCTACCTAGCACTCAACGCCTAACCTCAACAGATTCCATACTGTTACTAACAGCTATTTTCACTCCATACTAAAGGTCAGATCAGATCGGATCAATCGGAAAGGATAAGCAACAATGAACTCTGGAAACGAATCAGCCAAGAACCTACTGCTTAACAAATACTTCGAAGCAAATAGGTATGGATCGGACACACGCTAAGGAGACCATTGAGTTACATTGAGCGTCAGGTCATAGGTCGAGTGGAACCAGACTAGGAGATGACGAGTTAAGTATGGGTCCGAGGGTGACATGGAGGAGATCGTGTGAGCACGAGCGGATGAGAGCTTATGTACCAACAGGCATGGAGTCAGTTAAAATGACTGTAGAGTACAGAATGAAATGAAGATGTGTTGTTGAAGCCCTAAGTTCCACTCGGAACTCAAGAGAACAATAATGATAGTACAGTTAAGACTGAATTTTCCTGAGTAGACGACACGTTGTGAGTTATGCTTGTTGTATGAGAGATGGCGATACCATATTTCAAATATAAACACGAATAAAGGTAAAACTAGTTAACACACACTTACAGTAGAAATACATTCCTTTCAGCAGGTTTAGAAACACTAGCCATTTCAATATTGAAACGTCCTTTTTCACTGTCAGAAGCCAGGAAGTGTGATTTTGTCATATCTTTCACAGAAATCGACGGTATTATTCTTGGTGCAAATGTTCTCGACAAAATGTCGCCTGACATCTTTTCACATTTTCCATTGGCTAAACAACGTGAACCACGTGGGCAACAGGTATTTTGTTCAGCACAGCATACACCCTGTATGAAAAAGCAAATTAAGCGATATAAGTAGTTTAAGCGCAGTATGAGAATACAATATCAACAACAACGGGCATTTCAAATACTCGGTCAGTCAGTCAGTCAGATAGTGTATATATGGAAATATTGATTTTGAGGCGTTGGTGGTTTGCAAGGATTTGATTGGCTACAGGCTTCATCACACGAGCTGACATCAGTTATAGAAAAAGTTTGGAAAACCCGATAGACAGTAGTTTCGTCCTAGTCTGGGACTCTTTATCAGTGAGTGCCTATCGGGATTCGAACCGAGGAGCTTCTGGTTGATAGTGGGAAAATATTTCATCCTAGTTTCATTCTATTTAGTGTGCGCCAATGGATACACCACGGGATGACACCAATGAAGACCTCTACAAAACCCAAATCTGAATATTATATTCTAGCTCATTAGTAACTATAGGATAGCTGTCGTGAATTTTCACTATGTTTGGATGATATTATAACGGAGTGTTCCTGGAAAGTGACGACGATTATCTTGACTAAATATATACGCCCTCGAACATGATATTATAAGCGACTGATCACTTAAAAATCTTCCCCACACTGAGATAGACGCGAAATCCAACAACGACATTCATGAGACAAAATACGTGGTGGTGTGTACGTACAATTTAAAAAAATTTAGGAATTAAGGCCATAAATAAACAAATAAACAAATCTGATTGGTCGTATGCCCTCTGAAATTCTCAGGAAGTCAAGCCAAAATTAAACCAATCAAAAACTGCCCAATCTGGTTATCGTGCCGGCGCACATGAATAAATCATGACTTCCCGGCTAACGAAGAATCCTTCTGCGTCTAAACAGATATGTAATGGATGCCTGCCGATCGCATTAGTTGGCGGTAACACAATATTGTGGAGGTCAACAGCACTCAGCATCAAAAATAACCGGATTTTTAACTCAAATGTGAAGTCAGTGCTACTCTACACGGATCAGAGACTTGCACTGCGCGTCATAAAGAGCATCTCAAACAAACTACAGACCTTCATTAACAGTTGTCTTCGCTCAATACTCAAGATCAGATGGCCAGCCAGAAAAGATCACCAACAGAGAGGGATCTCTGGGAGCGAACCAATCCAGCAGGAACCGATTGTGAAACAAATAGGCAGGAAGAAATGAAGATGGATTGGCTGGTCATACTCTGAGGAAACCATCAAGTGAGTGACATCACTAGACAAGCCATTGCTCGAGTAGAACCCGGCCGAAAGGGAAGCGGCGAGTTGGTCGTCAGTGCGAGGATGAGATGGAGGAGGTCATGTGAAGAGGAGATGAAAGTGTGTGGGAAGACTTGGAGCCAGGTGAAGAGTCTAGCAGAGAACCGAACGCAATGGAGACGCACGGCTGAAGCCCTATTTTCTTCTAGGAATTAAAGGAAACAATAATAATAATAATAACACAATATTGCAAATTAACAAGAGCGGGAATTCACGGACTACTGGACCGGGTGTCAAAGTGGCTGAATAGTCTCCTTGTAATCTGAAAATCCTGATTTTGATCGTTGAAGAGATCATGGATGTATACAGTTGAACAGTCTCCGAGTAGGACGAAATGGCTATTCACTAGCTTTCCAATAGTTTTCCAACTGAAGTCAATTTGTTGTTATCAAGCATGGAGATCGATTAAATCTGTACAAACTAACACTTGTAAATTTTTCATCGATTATGTATTTCAATGAATGGTTGTTCAATGCTGGCAAAAACAGACAAACTTCGATCGAAAACTACTCACGCTTATGATGACTGTTCATGACTGATAGTCTCTGTTTATTTTAAGTCATTTTGACCTACCTGACTTGTAAAAATTCGACATTTGACCTCAATGTAGATGATTAAGGGTCAAACCAGTGGTGATATTTTAATTATTGATTTTTACACATTTAAAACTGGTCATTTATTGATAAGTGTAAAATAACTCAATATAAATAGCTGTGATTCCTAGTGTGACTGGCCTTCTCTACATGAAGAAATAAATCTGTGAATTAATCAGTTGGTCTTCTGTTTCTTCTTCTTCTTAGTGTGAGAATGGTGGACGCGTATCCAGTAGTATATATCTGTTGTTGTCAAGTGTTGCAGACCTCACAGTTACGACAGTATATAATACAACTTTTGACTTGTTGAACAACGAATAGCCTTCAGAGAAGTATTCTAAAGTTTGACATGAAGTAAGAGTGAAAACTTTTCAAGGTATATTATGCAGTCTGTTGTGCGTCGGTGGCATAGCGGTTAGGATGCTCGCCCACCATGCACATGGTCCGGGGTTCGATCCCCGGCCATCGGACGCACTCCTTTACCTCGCTAAGCCACAAATAATGCTGGTGAAGAGGAAAGGTTGGGCATGAGGCTGGCTAGCAACCCCATCCTGTAAAATAAGCACTGCTACAGAAACTTCAAGCCACTAACTTGAAGCCCTATGTTCCACTGGGGAACGTGAAGGAAAAAAATGCGGTCTGTTATGCGACCAGTGTATGAAATGGATGGATCAGTGCGTTCCCCAAGAACAGAAACGCGAAAACATGTCTACAAAAGTAGTTTATACTCACTAATATAAATCTTTGTAAAAGCTTTAAGTTTTCCAAGTGAGCTAGTTAAAAATTAAATTACTTGGAGCAGAGATACTTTTCACCAGTCAAGTGTTTAAGATCAGTGACCCCTAGGAAACGTACGTAGGCATGAATCAATAACCACTGCAACGAGCGCAAGCAGATAAACAACAACACTTTTGACTGACTGGTTTCAACATACAACTATGCACAGATGTGCAACAGTTTGAGTTGCCACTCTCCCTCCTTGTAGCACACAAAGCAAGAGAAGAGAGTAGGGAGCAATTCAAAAGAGAGATAGTAAACATGAATACGAAGCAGAAAGAACAATAGAATTTATTGGATATTATCAATAACAAGGAGTGGATGCATCTGAGCCAGCCATTGACAATGATAACTGTCTCTAGCCTTAGTTGATTTTCACTATCCCGAGGACCCCAACCAGTCAGTCAGGAAGTCTACACCACCCTACGTGGCTGGCTTAAACTAAGTGTCGTGAAGCCATGTTTTGGTTTGACCAACACTAGCTCTTTTCCAACCTGATACTATATCAGGTAAGATTGCCCGTCGAAGAAGGCGATGGCTAGGCATGGGTAACAACCGAAAAAGGTAATGTAATGTAAAAGTTCATAGTTCTACAATTTTTTGAATCTTTTCCATTGAAGTTCTCTTTTATAGAACTGAACTGAATTATCAAAGTAAAACAATGGGATAAAAGCTCAGTAGTTCAAGGTATCGCAGTTAGGAAAATTAACATATAAATCGTAGAGTATACAAAAACGTAATGCAACTCTACGATAGACGACAAAAATGCACTACAAAAAAACAACAAGTAAATAGGAATTCGATTAGTTGCAGGATTTCATAATGAGCTGACATCAGTTAGAGAACCATTGGAAAACCTGCAGGGAGTACTGGACAGCCACGTGTTTCGTTAGCCTGGTTTGAGACTCTTCATCAGTAAGCACTCCCCGGGAAACCATGAACAGTAGGCTAGAGCAGGTTGGAGATGAGGACAGTTACTCACAGAAGAAGACATTGGGAAGTGGTCACGCTATGTCGTGTGTGAATTAGCAGAAGTTAGAATCCATGGGCTGGCCATTGAATCGGGTTCCAGTGGCTGAATGAATGGTTTACGAACTCGCTAGTCTTCTAACCAGAAGATCCTGGGTTCGAACGTCAGTGAGGTGGGTGCGTACTGATGAAGAGTCCCAAACTGGGCTGACGAAACAGGTGGCTGTCCAGTACTCCTTGGCAGGTTTTCCAATGGTTCTCTAACCAAGGTCAGCTCATGATGAAATCCTCCATTCAATCAAAGAAAATTCCCTACAAAACCAATATATGAAAATAGAAATTCGTTCGGGAATTTTCAAAATCTGGAATATTTTTCAGCCACCATATTACTGAGAATCCCTAGTCAATGATTCTCAGCATTCTGAAGGACCCTGGAGCCAGATAGTTGAGACGTCTTGATGCGACTCACATCAAATCAAATCAACAGTCAAAGATATCACGAATAGTGCATATAAAAAACCAAGCATTATACCTCTTATTCACATTTCTTCACAGAGAAAAGAATGGTGACGAAATTTACACACTGCATGGTTGGAGGCAATCGACAAGAAGCCCTGCCGACACATACGTTTTGTGCTAGTTGACACTCACCAGTCAGCTAGCAAGGCGTATCTGCAATCACCTTGAAGGAACTCATGTCCCTTCTGAGACTCGAACCCGCGTCACCATCAAGTGCTGCAGTCAGAGATGTTGCCACTGAGCCATTCATGATTGCGATTGACCTGCTGTAGGACTGTAATGGTTACTTTGATTGGACAATAGTCAGTAACTAGCGTAATGTGTCTAGTCCGAAATTTGGTGCAGACTGAATTCTATCAGTAAAGCTCAGTGGTAACGTCTCTGACTGCAGCACTGGGTGACGTGGCTTCGAATCTCAACAGGTGAATGAGTTCCTTCAAGGCAGTTACAGATACACCTTGCACGAAACCTAGGTCAGACAAGGCTTCCTGTCGATTACCTGTAACCAACAATCCACAGTGCACTGTGATGGCGAGCCACCTAGAATGGTGGCCACAGTGCGAACCTGACTGATAGAATTAAGTCTGCACCAAAGATAGGACTAGACACATTACACTAAATACTGACTAGTGTTCAATCAAAAATTTATATCCATTTCACAAAGTGCACCTACAAGTCATCAATGTTAACAAATATGATGTCAGTTTACCCTGGACATGTGCCACACTATATCAGTTGACCACACTTTCCAATTGCTAAGACTGAAGTACGTGGGGCAAGATTCGAATCAAGGACCTCTGCCTCAAAGCCACGTGTTTAATTCAGTGAGCCAGGAATGCACAAGCTATAAAATGTGTATCTAACAAATAGTGAATTTACACTTGAATGAGCACTGCAAACGTTGTCTAGAAGGACAACAATGATAGCTACTCAATTAAACCGGCCCTACATCACAATAAAAGAGAGGGGGGAGGGAAGCACAATCGCTAGACTTACACCCATATATGGACAACAATACCATGAATTTGTAGCATGATTTGCACAGCATGCCCAACTATCACCACATGCTCCACACCAAACAGCTTCTTTCGCATTGGTATCATCGTCACCAACTGTCTTTCGTGATAATGGTTGAGAATACATAGCACTGGATGACTGTTCAATAGATTTATGCATAACATAGGCATCTGAAATCAAATTGACAGTGGATCGCTTTGCATCATCGCCTTGTTGAACAATACACTGTTTATTCTCCAAATCACAAATAGAACCATTTGGACAACAATGATAACGATCAGCACAACAGATGCCCTATTTGAAAAGATAATAAACAATAATAATAGTAGTAGTAACGATATAACCGCCATTTTATTTAAACGTAGAAAAAAACTTGGTACAATATGGCACCAAGAAAGATGCGCCACACAATAATAATAAAACAACATAGATTAAAAGTAAACATATAAGTAGAAAACGGATAAAGAACTTCATCTGGAAGGAAAACAGTCATGTTTAACAAGTTCAAACAGCATAATAGTTTGTTGCTTCATTTCATTTATTGTGTGAGGGCTGAGATACTGCCCGGGCGCCCAGACCGAGGCAGGTGGTTTTCCTAAGGGACCACCCCCCGAGCCTTTGACTTGGAGTTTAATCCGCAAGGCAGCGGAGCAGCGTCAGGAGCTGCGTTCCCATGGTTGCCGGTGTCCGATATGGGTTTATACGCCATTTGATCCGATTGGATTCTGGAGCCCATGTACCCCATGGTAACTGCTTTTAGTCTAACCGCTATCCAAACAACCTTCCTGGCATGGTAGGACCTGCAGGGACATGAGTCCCAGCCAGTTTAGCTTGTTGGGTCACTGCGGCATTCAAGCCCGACCACAACGGCAAGGTAGCAGTTATCGGCCGTAGTGAAAGAGAAAAATAAAACGATTACAAAAACACATGCAGTATAACACATTTACACAGGATTTGAGACGGTTAGAATTCTCAAGAGGAGGGGGTCTGTATGGCATGTGAATATGAATGTTTACAGAAAAGATTACAAAATGATCGCTAGATTATTTCAGAGTGAAACGTACTCATCACTATTCAACTTTGAAACATCAAAAATCACAACAACAAAAAGAATCTTCGATACATCTTTCATTCCTACAATTGTGGTTTACAAACAGAAAAGAAAAAATCATTTCAATAGCTCGTTTGATTTAGACATTCAAACCTCCAACTACACACAGGGTTCAAAAGTTTGAATCCCACACAAAACGTAGTTAGATCAGTAATATAGTATGATTAGTATTCACAAACACACACACACACACAATAACCGACTGATTTTCATCGCAGAACTTCCACAGAAGTGCATCAGTTCAATTTGCCACATTTCATAACAGCACACATAGATAGGGAAAGAAAATTGAAATAGCTATAATTATCGAAAATTTCAAGTAGAAAGAATTACAATATGGGGAAACAGGAGGACTTCGTGGATTTAGAAGATCACAAGGAGTGAGAATACGTATCTGTGTGCTACGGAATCATACCAACAATAGTCTTAGGCCAGTGGTTGCTACAGTCTCTAATAATTCTATTCCTTCAAGCTCCCAGTGGAACTTAGGCATTCAAGCTAGAGGCTCAAAGTTTCTGTAGCAGTAGTGTTTATTTTTACAGGATGGGGTTGCTAGTGAGCCTCATGCCCATCCTTCCCTCTTCACCAGTCTTATTACTGGCTTAGCGAAGTAAAGGAGTGCGTCCAGTGGCCGGGGATCGAAACCCAAACCACATGCGTGGTTGACAAGCATCCCACCGCTGTGCCACCGACGCACACCTCCCTACCTATATGACACAAACTAACAATCATAGACTTTATAGATGGATTAATAAAGGATTTGATTTGACCGACCCTAACTCTTTTTCAAACCCAAACCTACGACAACAAGCTAACGTTGCTCGAAGTCAATCGCTCAGGACGCATAACCCATGTCCTAGCCAATTCATTCGATGCAGCTTCACAACCTCATTGCCCTTCTTACCTGAAAATCTACACCTAACCTCAATATTATGCTCACTATATATATATATATATATCAGTGCGAGAGTAACATGGATGAGATCACACCAAAAGGAGATGAAAACACGCGGGCAAACATGGAGCTAGATGCAAAAACGTTGGTGGAGAACGGAACACAATAAAGACGTGCGGCTGAAGCCCCATGTTCTTCTAGGAACTAAAGGACACAATAATAATAATAATAAACAGCAGAAATAGAACGAGTCTCTTCGAGTCTTTCAGAGTACACACACACACACACAAATCCCTTGATCGATAGCCGGATATTAATAAGCACAACTCATTCATCACTGCCTACAAAAAATGTAAGTCATGTTGAGTAACAGGGGGAATAGCAGTTTTTCGAAGAGAGAAAAAAAAGCAAACAAATATAACCTTTTATTTCAGCGGATTAAAACAAACTTATAGTCAGACGTGCTGTGTGATATTGTAAAACAATCAATCAATCAATCATACGTGTTTATTCATTCATTCATTCATTCACAATATAATGATCACATACTTTTTAGATTGTTTAATAAATAAAATATAGCGCTTGTATACACATTGTGTTGAATACAAAAAACATAAATTTCGATGTGATTATTATTATTATTATTATTATTATTATTATTAATATTTCAATCTATATACTTGTTTAGAACATTAACAGGATTGGTGAATAATGCATAGATAAACACTTACAAGTATAATTATATACAACGATTCAAATTATAGACTAGCATGAGCATGAGAGGCGTCATACTGTTAGCCGTCTATTTGAAAACACACAACAAGGCGTTTGAAATGAATACAGGAGTGAGATAAGGCTGTCTGTCTGTTATCTGTCTGTCTGTTTTCGACATAGAACTTTGCACCGATGTGCAGCAGTTCAAGTTGCCACACTCCCTCCATGTACCACACAAAGCAAGAGAAGAAAGTAGGAGAAATGCATAATATAGACAGTAAACAGAGGTGTGAGACAAAGGAATAGTAATAACGAAGAACAAAACAGTTTCATTGCAAATCATAAGTCACAAGGAGTGGATGCATCTGCATCAACCATTGAGAACGATTTTGAGCCAATTGTTTCCAACCATTGGTTTTTATCGTCCTTAGGACCCCAACCAGGAAGTCTACACCTTCCTACGTGGCCTACACTAACTGTTGTATATTTCATTAACTGGTGCCATGTTTTGGTTTGACCGCCGCTAGCTCTTTTCCAGCCTGACCCTATATCAGCTAACATTGTCCGTTGTCGAGGAAGGCAATGGCTAGGCATACGTAACACATGTCCTAACCATCTCAGTCGATGTAATTTCACAGCCTCGTCGATTGATTTCCCCTCCCACCTACCTAGCACTCGACCAGTGCCTAACCTCAATATTGCTCACCTTGTTATACCACTTCACACAGGAGATAGAATGCAGGCACCTATGATCAAAGACAGCTAGTCTCTTCATGTCTTCCACTCTCAATGACAAGGTCTCACAGCCCATAAAGGAGGACGGAGCGGACTGATGAGCAGTACACACGCCAGAGACGGCGTAAACTGGCATATGCAAAACGAGCCCTCTGTATCCGTGCTGAGATTTCGTCTGAGATCAACCCGTTGGGGCTGATGGTACTTCCCAAGTAAGTGAAGCGGTCAACGTGCTCTACCACTTCACTTCCTATTTCTTATCTAGGAGTCAATGTAGTCCAATCCTGTAACATCATCTTACATTTGACAAGGGGAGCGAATCCCATGCCAAACACTCGTAGGTTGCAGCTCAAGGTGTTCAGTAGACTCTGCATTTTGTCAGCGTCCTCGCATAGAAGGACTATATCGTCTGCATATTCTAAGTCGACGAGATTATTCCCTGGTAACAAGTCAATCCCTGAATCGCTGAAGTCACTTAGGGTTAAGTTCATGAGTACATCTATGATGAAATTGAATAGAAATGGGGATAATGAGCATCCTTGACGGACGTCACTAGTCGTCATCACTTTAGATGACAACTCGCCGTAAGCCCTCACCTGGCTGCATGAGTACGAGTAAAGTGCCTTAATCAGTGCAATGTCAGACTACGCATAGGAAAGAGCGAGAAGACAGGAACACGTTGGACTGACCGATAAGATGACTCTAGAAGATCCGGATTTCGTGGTGAATGATTTATGTCTAGTGTCATACAAACTCGAAGAATTACAAGTCAAAACCAACAAACTAGCTGAAGGAGAGGTGAAGATAGAACATTAAGTGAACAAAGAGAAGACAGAGGTGATGAAGATAACCAACCAACAACAAGAACAATCAGCACCAATCATCATCAACGAGGGAGATTTAACAGAGGTTACTTCTGTCACTTATCTGGCTAGGAAGCACGCTTTCAACCACAGGTAGGCGGAACGGATGCAGATGTCAAAGCCAACTGGAATCAGAAAGGCAAGATACGCATTCATCAACCTGAAACCAGTTTGTAAATCTATTGCATATTAATCGCCTATATATACCATCAATGCTAACTTGCTTCCTTTCCTAATTGCTACCCATAGTGACAGACTGGACACATTAACCTAACAAAAGGCTCGTTTGGCATATGCCAGTTTACACCATCTCTGGATTAGTAGACGTGATATCCAGCTAGCTGTCGACCGAAGGCTACCTACCTGAATACGGCCAGCCGCTGCAGTCCCTACAAACCAATACTTGAATGCCATAGGAATTCACCTGAAGAACAAGCCAAACCTGTGTGTGCTCAGAAGAAATTCATAAAACCACTTCCTTTACCATGGTCATCGTTAGATGAATACATATAAACCGGACTGCTTCGCCACCCGACTCTCCCTGAACCTTTAAAAATTATAATTGTTCAGATTATTTTTCTGACTATTTCAATCTTTAATCACATGTTATCATTTTCAAAATCATTTTATATTTAATTCAATAATCCATCACGTAATCATCTTGAGCACTCACTTATTCCTTAACTACCCTTCATTTTTCAAAAAAATTATGCATTATGCAATCCACTTGTTGTAACCACTTCAACCTTTTAATTGTAGGTATTAATTTTTTTCGTTAATTTTCACTCATCACCTTGACCTGTTGACACTGACTAATTATTGTTAACAAACATATCAGTGCCACTACCTGATTGGTAAATTGTTGTGTATTGTAATAAAAATGCGATACTGAATAATATTAGAGTGAGATGAGAGTCTAACTGAAAAGTAAAATTTTCAAGTATTGGTTTTGTAAGGATTTTGTTTGATTCGTTGGAGGATTTCATCATGAGTTGACATCAGTTAGAGAATCACTGGAAAACCCAACTGGGAGTACTGAACAGCCAGCTGTTTGGTCAGCCTAGTTCGGGATTCTTCATCAGTACTCACCTTTCCCACTGACGTTAGAACCCAGAACCTTCTGGTTACGAGGCTAGCAAGTTCGTAGACCATTCATTCAGCCACTGGGACCCGATCCAATGGCCAGCCCATGAATTCTAACTTCTGCTAATTCACGCACCACATAGCGCGACCAATTCGCAATGTCTTCTTCGATGAATAACTGCCCCCCCCCCCTTCAACCTGCTGTACTTGAAAATTGATCTGATGTTCACTAGTGACTGGCTCTCTTCAGGCAGTTACCTGGGGTTCTAGTGAGAAGCCGTGACCAGTAGGATACAGCAGGTTGGAGATGAGGCAGTAACTCGTCGAAAAAGACATTGCGCGCTATGTCGTGCGTGAATTCGTAGAAGTTAGAATTCATCGGCTGGTCAATGAATCGAGTCTCCATGTCTGCATGAATGGTCTACGAACTTGCTAGCCTCGTAACCAGAAGGTTCTGGGTTCTAACGTCAGTGGGATAGGTGAGTACTGATGAAGAATCCCAAACTAGCCTGACGAAACAGCCGGCTCTCCAGTACTCCCAGTTGGGTTTTCAATGATTCTCTAATTGATGTTAGCTCATGAAAAGTAAAATATTTCTTCTTCACTCAATTCTTTGGCTTCCTAAATGTTTAAATGGGGATGTTTTTCTCCCAATATTTTCCTAATTTCTTTTTATTTAAATCTTCAAACTCCCTAGTCGAACATAAAATCTCAATATGGAACTTGGGCATATACTGTGATAGAATGTAATTCAACACCTAGAAAAGTTAATTTTTTTTTAAGTATCACACAGTGCTGATAGAGTATTAATAAATAACTCGATATGACAAGGTTTCAAGCATACCTAATTATCGCTCATAAAATCATATCCCTGGTCAAACTTCTGACTCAATTGCATAAATGTTGAACTAAGCCCCTACTTACCTACCTACCCACCTACCTACCTTTACCTATTATGAGTGGCATGATTCAAAGTGAAAGAGAGGGAAAAAAAAACAACAGAAAAACCAACAGAGGAGTGGAGCACAACTATACAGTTCAAATTACGAAGTCTCCTACGATGTGAATGATACCCTGAGAAGGAGGTTTCCGAGCAATAAAACAAATTGTGTTCGAAACAGCACCGCCACCCCCCCCCCACCCAATCACTAACATCACGAGTTATTCATACTACTCCTGTATATCACACAATATCATTTAAAAAGATGCCGAAAGCTTTTCAAGTACATATACACCTATGATCATTCCAAATTTATTTTTTTCGTTGTTGTTGTTGTTATTGTTGTTTAGACTGGAGTTTGATCAACAACCAACAACTAGGTACTGATCACCCACCGATCAATGTTTATTTCACATCAATCGCGAGTTTGTTTAACCTTCAGAGTGTTATCGTATGATCGCATACATCTCTCTCCATCTCTGTCTTTGTCTCTGTTTATGCCTCTTCTCTGTGTCGTTCAACGTCCAAATAACCATATTAGTTCAGGTATGTATATGGGGTAACATAACAAATTAACACACAGAATCCTAAGCTAAGTAGTTATCTTCAGACAAACTATTAAACAGCTGATAGATACTAAGTAGTGATGATCTGAATTCAAATATGACCGACCATCTCTGATCCGATTTGTGATCTGATTTGATCTCATCTGATTCAAATATTTCATTTTTACGCATATAGATGTTTGAATAGCTTAAACTAAAACTAATTTTCAAGTATTCGTTGTTTTGTAGGGTTTTTGTTTGATTGGATGGAGGATTTCATCATGAGCTGACACATAGGTTAGAGAACCACTGGAAAACCTGGGGTTGAACCGCGGCGGGTTCCTACTGTTGAAGAGTCCCAAACTAGGCTGGCGAAACAGCTGTCCAGTACTCCCTGGCAGGTTTTCCCATGGTTCTCTAACTAATGTCAGCTCATGGTGAAATCCTCCATCCAATCAAACAAAATCCCTACAAAAAGCAATACTTGAAAATTAATCAGATGCTCACTAGCGACTGGCCCTATTCAGGCAGTTACCTGGTATTCTGGTGGGAAGCCGTGACCAGTAAGGTAGAGCAGGTTGAAGATGAGGACAGTTACTCATTGAAGAAGACATTGCGAAGTGGTCGCTCTATGTCGTGAATTGGCAGAAGTTAAAATTCATGGGCTGGCCATTGAGGAGTCGGGTCCCAGTGACTCAATGGCCTACGAGCTCGCTAGCCTTGTGACCAGAAGGTCCTCGGTTCGAACCCCGGCTGGTGAATTCCGAGCTAGGATGAAACAGCTGTCCAGTACTCCAGTGCTGGTTTTCAGTGGTTCTCTAACTGATGTCAGCTCATGATAAATTCCTCCATCCAATAAAACTGTTTCGTTTGGTTTTTTTTGGTGCTAAATATCCTTGACTTATCCTAACACCTTGTAAAAGTGGTCTTTAAAGTTAAAGTGATTAAAAGCTTGAGTTTGCACGGATTCGATCATGAACTGAATTCAGTTGGCAAATCATTGAAGACCCAGCAGCGATTGATTGATTGATTGATTGACCTAGTAATCGACCGATGCCTAACCTCAATATTGCTCACCTTATTATATATCACACCAACTAACACGGGAGATAGAACGCATATACCTATAATCAAAGACAGATAGTTGGACTGGCTTTTCATATCTTCCACTTTCAATCGCCATGTCTAATCCACAGTCATGAAGGAGGAAGACGGAGCGAACTGCTGAGCCAGCACACACGTCCTTCGGTCGACAGTCAGTCAGCCGGATATCACGTCTACTAAGCCAGAGATAGTGTAAGTTGACGTATGCCAGATGAGCATTCTGTATCCGTGCTGAGATTTCATTAGTGATCAATCCACTGGCGTTGACTGACGCAACTTTCCAAATATTTATGTGAAGTAGTCAACACGCTCTACCAACCATTTCACGACTACACACCTTAAAGTTAAGAGCCCATTTAGTCCAGTCCAGTCCTGTAGCATCATTTTGCATTTGAAAAAGGCAGCGAATCGCATACCGAACATTCAAAGATTGCTGCTCCTCAATGTGTTCAGAAGACTCTGCTCTATTTTGTCAGCGTCTTCACCTTGAAGACAGGACTATATCATCTGCATATTCTAAGTCAACAAGACTATTATTCTCTGATGGTAAAAAGTCAATCCCTGAGTCGCTGAATTCACTTAGAGTTAAGTCCGTCAGTGTATCTAGGATGAAATTAAACAGAAATGCTGACGGACACCACTGGTTCTCACCAAATCAGATGAGAACCCTCCTTAGCTTCTTGCCAGATCAGTGCGATGTATTTTCTCGGCATTACCTTCACAACCAAACATCACCATAGTATCTCTCGGTCGACAGAATCGAATGCCACCATTAGGTCAAGAAATACGGCGATTGTTGGACGCCGACACTAAGTATGTCAATGGTCCAGAATCTGTCCAAGGGTGAAGATATGATCAATACACCTTCTTCCTGGTCTAAAGCCTTCCGACTGTGATCCGAAGTTCAATCTCCAGCCAACTCACTTCTAAATCTCGCCTAGCCAGTAGTGAAGCCGAAAAATATCGAAACTTGAACATGAGGTTAGCAACCTAGCCTCGTAAAAACAAACACCACTGCTAAAATGAAACTTCACACCTCAACACTGAAGCTTTATATTCCACTCGAAACTCAAAAGAATAGAAATAACATTTAGAGAATGAAGCCTACAGTTTATAAACACGCACACACACACGCACACATGAAAAATGAACGAAACTTACATCTTTCAGCGGACAACAACCCCAGGATTTATCAAGTAATTGACAACAAGTATTATCATCTGGACACACAGCTTGATGATCCGGACAAACATGTTGTCCATGCATTTTAACAGGTACGAGACTGTGCTGATTACGTAATTCCTTATCATCAACTGTATCTGCTGGCGATGATGATGATTGTGATGACGTAACAGTATCAGATTCAATTTTTACACATGATGAGGTCTTATAATCACATTTTGTGCCAAATGGACAACAGTGAATACCATCACTACAACATGTAGCCTATACAAATCAATATAGAGAGAAAGTATAAAGAAGAAGATTAAACTTATGTTTATAATTCTTCAATTGCACTACACTACAATAAAGCATTTCAGATAGAAAAAATTAATCCATAAAAATACAATTACTAACCCTAATATCGAGTGCACCTGGTAAACTGAAGCCATGCAGCTCCACGAGCGTCGTCTTTTAAAAATTATCTACAGAGTGAGACCGAGTGGTTTAGCAGTGACTGACTCAGGAAGGCTTTGTGTGCTTTTGGAAGTGTGTAGGCGGTTGTTACTTCCCGGTTGCCCACACCGTGGAAGTTGATTGATTCTTCGGGTACCTGAAACAGAAACAGAGTGTTGCGTGACCACAGAACCCAGGGGACAACTGCTTGAGATCGGTCACACGCGGCCTGTATGAACTGGTTTCTTGGTTTGGTTCCGTATTAGTAAATTTACCGCCGGTTACGGACCACCGTAGGGTAAGTCGGGATGTACAATTTTTGGGGTTGACCTTTTCTAACCCCCTCTCTCCAGAGTGGAGAGACGACATAGCCGACATGCTGGTCATTTGAAGGAAACACCTCACTGCTGTTACACTCCTGTTCCCCAGAAGTACGACTTCGCCCACAGACCCCCAGCATAGTGTAAGAAAGATTCTTCCACTATGCCGGTAACTGCTTTTAGTCTAGTCGCTATCCTAACAACCTTCCTGGCATGGTGGGACCTGCAGGAACAACAGTTCCAGCCAGTGTAGCTTGTTGGGTCATTGCGATATGCACGCCCGGCGACCACTACAACAAGGTAGCAGCTATCGCTCGGGTGGTTCGGCATTTGTGCATAGCGTGGGCGCTTGCGATTTGCCAATATAATCCCGAACTCTATATGTGTTTAGAAAAAGTCTCTTCAGTCCCTTATTCTACTATAGTGTTAATCTCTTTCCCAGTATTTGCTTTTGTTTTTAGTAATTAATTCAATATTATCACTCATGCATGTTCCTTTTGTACATCTCCTCAGCTTCCTCACACTTGTGTCAAGTCGGCATTTAACTATCCCACTTTTCACCTTATAGAACTTCAAACCCTTCTATTATGTCACTGACTATTACGTTGTCATTAGAAATTACGTCTTAGTAATCGTATCAATTGTCACACACACACACACACCATGATACTTAACAATAGACTACTATACGTTCTTGGTAAACATGAATACGACGGTACAGCCTGTGAAGATGATTTTGTCGATGAAGGAAATTTCCCACGCCGAGTTGCCTTTCATTTACTTCATAACTCAATGGGTACTTTTGGTCTTATAAATGTAATACCGAATGAGTTGGTAGTTTAATGAAGGAATATTTGCCGATCACGTAAATGGCCCCAGGTTCGATTCCCGGCAGACACAGTCAATCACTCTTAAACCTCGCCTAGTTTACTAGTCAATAGCAAATTCCTAGAGTGGGGGAAGGCTACCAACTCCAGCCGGTAAAAGTAACTCTGAAATCTTGGAGCTGACCTACGCTCCATTAGAAACGCAGTGAATTACAATAAAATACTACCGAAGTGAATACCAGGATGTCAAGAATAATTACTTGGGATACTCTTGGTGAAATGATTCAGAAATCCCTATAATGATGGAAAAACATTTCTAACCTATTTTCTTCCTTCACGTTCCCCAGTGGAACATAGGGTTTCAAGCCAGAGGCTTGAAGTTTCTGTAGCAGTGGTGATTATTTTTACATGATGGGGTTGCTAGCCAGCCTCATGCCCAACCTTTCCTCTTCACCAGCTTTATTTCTGGCTTAGTAGGGTAAAGAAGTGCGTCCAGTGGCCGGGGATCGAACCCCGGACCATGGGCATAGTCGGCGAGCATCCTAACCGCTGTGCCACCGACGCACATTCCTACCTATATCCTCTTGTTTTATGAACTTATACTAAAATGAGGCCATCTCAAGCGATGCCTTGTTTACAAGTTTCTGCATTGATTCACTTACTTGTCTGTCACAACACTTCACCCTTTCAAAGTCTTCTAGATAACAAGTTAGTTTGAAAACTTGATGAAGCGTAATGACTGGAGATTCATTTTTGAAAAAAAATATCACAACCGTTCCATATGTACGTGAAATGATCTCGTCAAATAGGCACCAGCGTTGCTGTCTAAATTCTAGATGTGTTCTTTCTAATATATATATCAATTGATAAGCGACATGACACTGTGTGGTGTGTGTGTCCTACTGACAAGATTTATCAGTAGTATATGGACAGACGTTCATCGTTGCACAAAATATATTAAATAGCGAAGACAGCGAGAGGGATTTGACGTCAAAGAAAGGAAATCAACTATTATTACGACAAAGACAAAGAAACACAATACGAAGCAAGGGGAGAAGTAGTGCACAACACGGAAGATCTGTGCAAAATGACAACCTTCATATAAGGCGTACACGTAGAGATATCAAATTCCAAATAAAAACATTCCGTTACCAAGTCTCTTGCCTCTTCTACAGTTAGAACTGTAGTATTCTGTACATTATGCTTCAGCATTAGACATTAGCAATCAATCAACAAAATAGCTTAGACCCAGGTTTAGCACTTTTTTGGTATTCTCAGGTAAGATGTATCTACAATCTTGCGTGAAGAACATTCCAGACTCGTGCCTAGTCGATTCAAACTGACTGATGTCGGACAGCAGTTGAATAATTTAGGATGCATGATTCATCCTGTCTGTAACTCCAGAGCTGGATGTGTAACTGCGACCCCATTGAGTGATCATGTTAGTCTCTTTGGGAGCAGTCACTCACTGGAGATACAGATACATCCAACTGACGAGTCACGAATAGGATGATATGTGCATCCTGGATCCCACTGCCGTTATTTTTTAAAATTTATTTTATTCCTTCGCGTTCCCGGTGGAATATATGAGGGGTGGGGGGGTTCAAGCTAGAGCTTCGAATTTTCAGCAGCAGTGGCTCTTGCTTGTAAAATGCGGTTGCTAGCCACACGCTCAAACTTCCATCTTTACAGAGCTTACTAACAGCTAAGTGGGGTTTAGGAGTACGTCGGCCGGAAATCTAATCCCGGACCACTTGCTTGGTTGGCGCCAGTGTTCTACCACTCAACCACCAACGCCAAGGATGCCAATGCTAGTCATCATTAAACAAGATAATATCCTGTCAGCTTCCAGCAGAATCTGAATAGGAAATAATAAGTTGAGTAGGCGTTTGAGGGTGACAAGCAGAAGCAATCTTATAGGAAATCCTGGAACCGGCCAGCTAAAAGGGACCGCGGAGAACAGGATGAAATCGGAGTGTGTCTATGAAGTCCTACAATACACTTGGAATCTAAGGGAATAATAATAATATCTTTGAGGCACATACTAGATGCCAACCTATCAACAAAAACTGAGAATTATCTTAAAATTGTGAAACATATGCTGACGAGTCCCAAATAGGACGAAATGCGCATCCTGGATTCCACTGCTAGTCACCATCCACAAATTAAATTATAATTAAATGCCCAGACATCGTCGAAGTATCTGCACAAGAAGCCGACATGTCAACCTGAGACCGAGCACTTCGGTCCAATCAATCGACAGGGAAATCTAAAATTCAATTAAATTAATATGACCCGTTGCACAAGAAGTGATGGCTCTCGTGGCCCAAGTGGTCAAGTGGATAACGCTTTGGCGTTTGAAACTAAGGGCACTGGGTTCGAGTCTCGGTGGGAACATCATCACTCACTGGAAAATGCAGGTACATCCAGCTGACGAGTCCCAAATTGGACGAAATGCGCATCCTGGCTCGATTCCACTGCTAGTCACCAACCACAAATTAAACATATGCTTAGTTTCAAAAATTAGTGAAAAATATACCGTTATTGCATAACACTTTCTTTATAGACTTACATTACGAGTTGGACAGCACGCATACTCGCCTTGACTTAATTTACAGCAAGTTGATGTATCAGGACACATTGATTTACCACCAGGACATAATTGAGTAAATACATTCGACACTGAACTTTCACCAACATCATCATGTCCACCTTTCGAGTTAACGCTTAAAGCGGTAATCTTCTTAAATAATGGAAGAGATGAAGGCTTTGAAGGTTGTGTTTCTTGAGGTTTGCATCCACCAACAGTCGCATCACAAACTGTACCTTCAGGACAACAATGCTTACCGTCACCACAGCAAACAGCCTAAAAACAACAGAAGTAGATGTATTTTTTTTTCTAATTACACCAAAAACTTTGTGTACTTTTAAAAGTGTGTAGGCGGTTGCTACTTCCTGACTCCCTATATCTTGGAAGTTGATTTTCTTTTCTGAGGTTACGGTATGTGAAAAAGAAACAGCACTAGTGTTCCGTGACGGCACTACCCAGGGGGACAAGTGATTGAGGCCGGTCACAGACGACCTGTCTGAATTGGTTTTTGTAGTTGATTCCTTTTTAAGACCTCATTACCAGCTACGGACACCCCATATCCCGTCTCCAGAGAGGAGAGACAGCATAATTGGCCCGCTAGCCATTTGAAGGAAACACCCTTCAGCCGCTACGTACCTATTCCTCAACAGTACGACATCCCACCCCCACAGACCTGAGGTGGAGGAACTTCTGTCCAATCAATCAACGGGAAAGTCAAAATTGAATTAAATAATTACTGATACCTGATGCAGCACAAGAACACCACCATCACTTACTGGGGGAATGCAGGTACATCCAGATGACGAGTCACAGATAGGACGAAATGCGCATCCTGGCTTGATTCCACTGCCAGTCATCATCCGCCAACTGTGATACACTGTTCTTCTCGTCTGCATGATGAATACTAAAGAGTAAGGATTCCCACTGATTTGGTATAACTGTACAAACATACTGTAAGAAGTCGGTCTTATTCCAGATTGCTTTCTCTACTGGGAATACCACACTGATTAAGCTCAGTTACCCGGAACCTATTTTCTCGTATACTAGGCTAATTATTATTATTTCCTTTAGTTCCTAGAGGAACATAGGGCTTCAGCCATGTGTCTCCATTGCGTTCGGTTCTCTGCTAGAGTTTTCACCTGGCTCCAAGTCTGCCCATAAGCTTTCAATTCTTCTTCACATGATCTCCTCCAGGTCACCCTTGGACGACCAACCCATCGCTTCCCTTTCGGGTTCCACTCGAGCAATGGCTTGTCTAGTGATGTCACTTGCTGGTTTCCTCAGAGTGTGGCCAATCCATCTCCATTTCTTCCTGCCGATTTGTTTCACAATCGGTTCCTGGCTAAGAGTTACAATTATTGAGTGGGACGCTGATGATACTACCTAGTTTCCCAGGCTGGAGTAGGCGGAGTGGGACTCGAACCTATAACCCATCAGCCAAAATTCCAATGACCGACATCTCCACAAATATCCGATCAACGGGGTTCCAACCCTGAACATTCCGAAAACAAGGCGAGCTCAAGGCGTTATCCACTAAACCATTTGGCTGTGACTCAACAGAAACGCCTTTTAAAACCAAAATATCGGTATAAACAGAAAACCTGTGATAACTAAAGATAACAGCAAAAACAAGTATATCATAACATACATTTTCATGAGGACAACAAAGTGACGATTGATCATCCACACCAGGACAGCATGTTCCACCTATACAAGCTGATTTCTTATCAGAACAAATAGTAATAAGTGAATGTAATGTATTCTCATTATTATTATTATTGGGAACAGATTTCGGTTCCATTGCAGTCACAATATCACCTGCTGTATTAAGACAAATCTCCTTTTCTACATCACAAATTGTTTTCTCTGGACAACAATGAATACGATCAGAACAGCAAACCGCCTGGGGGAAGAGAAAACAGAGTCAATAAAGAATGAACGTGAATGCAACTAAGGTATGCACCTTAAAGAGTATATTAATTAATTACGCTAGAGGATAACAATTCTCATATATCATATGTCCATGATGTTGCTACTGATAAAAAAATTCTATCACTGAAGACTGAAATATGTTCAATGAGGAAGACAAGGAGGCCAAGTTAAACTTTAGACACCAATAACTACCAATCAGCGATGACGTCGAATTATCCAATGAGATTCACGAACGTAGTTCAATGTTGTACAGCGCTTGATTCATTTCAATGCGTGCCCTTACAAGGTTACGTTTGCAGTTCGAGGAGGATAGTGTAGTTCAGTATTGCCTAGAATTAGGCTTGCTAAGAAAGCAGAGAAGGTGTTCCTGTGGTGGTTTGATGACTCTGAAAAGCTATTCGAGGTCAACTGATGGATTTGTCCATCGTTGTGGAATATGTTGGAAACGAGTTAGTATTAGAGAGGGTAAGCTGCTAATTTTAATATTTCGTAGGAACTTTTTTTGCTAGGTCGCATCTCTCTCTAACCCAGATTTTGTATATCTGCAACTATTGGGTACTGAAGCAGCCAGTGAGAGCGGCAGCTGCGGAGACGGAGAATAGCCTGGTCTCAACAGTTCAATGGTATCAGCATTGTAGAGATACCGCATTATGGAAAATGGACAGAATTACTTCGCTGTTAGGCGGGGAGGACGTAGTAGTCCATGTAGACGAGACAGTGTTGGTAAAGAAGAAATATAATCGGGGTCGTCAGAGAGCAAACAACATTTGGGTTATCGGTTTATACGACACGTCCCTTCGAAAAGGGTTTGTTGAAAGAATAGGAGACAGGAAGGCGAGCACTTTGATACCTATTATAACTCGACTTGTCAAAAGGGGATCAATTGTGCATACGGACGAGTGGAAAGGCTATGATTCCTTGTCATCTCTGGGTTACATTCACCATAGAGTGAACCACTCAAATGATTTCGTGGATCCTGTTACTGGGACTCATACGAATTCAATTGAAGGTTTTTGGGGAAGATTGAAAAATAGGATCCGGGCTATAAATGGATCGCAAAAAGATGTGATTTTTAGTCATTTAGACGAATATATGTACAGAATGTGGTGCGATTTCTCTATTGACAGTCCCATGTTGAATTGGGAGATGTTTTTGTCCCATGTTCGAGAAAGATACCCATTGTAACGGTTTTATCCTTTTTTCTATGCATTTTTGTATAAATATACGCTTCCACTTATCATAAACGCCTCTTTAATGTGATTGGTCCGTTCAAGGTCGTTTGCTGATTGGTTGTTATTGGTGTCGAAAGTTTAACTATGCTGACAAGGAAGGTCAACACCTTTGTGTCGTGCTTGTTGACATTTGTCCACAAGGCGTATACACACACCTACAACCACCTTAGAGGAGTTCATATCACCTGTAGGATTCTAAAATCTTACAGTATATCTATGCTGTACTGTAATACTTAACACACATTATTGTGACACGTTTTAGAATTGAGTATACACTTATGTGCTAAATTGAAAAACAAACCTAAGGACAACATTACAGACTGAGAGATTCGAAAGTCAAACGACCTTTATCAAGTCTTTGAATTATATAGAAGCCACTGTGTGTTGGTTGACATTAGTATTCCCTATGTTGCTAAGTGCCCTACAGTTAGTTTTACGCTGATTTCAGACAGCAAGAGCAGAGAATAGATACCACAGTTAAATGACCTTGAACCAGCCAATCAGATAGCTCAATATTACTTACGAGTTTCACTCTCAGGGTTAAGACTCGGGCAGGAATAAATTAGGGTTAGGGTTAACGTTAGAGTGAAACTTAAAACGAAGATTATGGCAACATCCATTTTAAGTGCTGATCAATGTAACTACAATCATTAGATTATAATCATTTTCAAGTCAATCTTTCATCAAAATTAGCCGATCTTAAAAGTGCTGCTCATACAGATTCTGATTTATTTACTTTAGTTACTCCTACGGAAAATTCAGACGTCTTTCAGCTGAGTGTTAGAGACTTACACCCTACACAACTTATTTTCGTCATAAATATATCCAAGAAACACACTATTTTATCGCATAAATGTCACTGTTTGCGTCGAAGTACATGATTGGTTGGTTCAAGGTCATTCGACTGTGATATATATATCCTTTACTATTACCTTTCAGACAAATCAATGACTATCGTATTCTGTTGTTAACACAGACTTGAAAGATGTGTACATCAAGATACCCTATATGGGGGATCGTAGCGGCTTGAAAACTAGACAAAGATTGAACGCTGCTGTGGTTAAAAAGACTTTTTATGCAGCTAAGATCATAATAATTGAGAGTGTGAAGCCGCCATATCCATCTAGGCCCTTAGAACATATGAGAAATTATGTCGCATCCCACTGTATTTAACAATTTGAATGTGTGTGTGTGCAAGTAAGGGCTAGGGGCTTCAGACATATTCCTATATGGCTTCAGAAGCAAATAGAGTCCCCAGAACCCATTAATGGTGAGAACAGGAAACCTAGGTCCTCTATTGAGAAAGACATATTATAGAGACAGCACATAAAATTGATGCTAACACATCTATTATAAACCTATCAATAAAACGTGTTTGAGGGAGGGTGTATCCTAAAGTTTGTGGAAGCTCTGGCTGGCAATTAGAAAGTTTAAACCACCTTTATGCGGCCATAGCAACAATTCGTCATCACACTAAAACCTTCTTTGGTAAACTTTGTTTTGATACTAGCCAGGATAAATGTACTCATTCCTTCTTTTATTTGGTTTAGTGATCTTCATTGTTATTCTGACCTTCTATATATGTCCTTTTAGCTTGACCTAAGTAGCCTATTTTCTCACCTCTCAACTCTTTATTAATTTCATATAAATTCTTATGACAAGTCCGTGTGTGTGATCAGATTATTCGAAAAATTTGTTAAATTATTCAGCAATGTAAGGAAACACTGAAAGGATAACCATATAATGAAGGCTAGGGTGGCATACATCAACTTGTGCCACCTCTGGCGCCGTCGCGACGTTAGCCTGGCTGTCAAAGGTCGGGTATACAATGCTTCGGTGCGGGCTGCGCTGCTCTACGCCTGTGAAACCTGGCCTCTCCGAGCTGAGGATGTGAGGCGACTCTGCGTGTTCCATCATCGCTGTCTCCACAGGATTGCTTGCGTTCGATGGCATCATCGCGTGAGTAATTCTGAGGTTCGGCGGCGTGTGTTTGAACACAGTGGAGATCACCATTCATTGAGTGTCGTGATCTGGAAACACCAGCTCCGGTGGCTTGGGCATGTGCTGCGAATGTCATCCCAGAGGCTTCCGTACAGGTCTCTGTTCGCTAGCCCTGGGACGGGATGGAAAAGGCGGAGGGGTGGTTAGTCCATGAAGTGGCGTCGTGGGATGAAGGATATTTGTGCTAGATTAGCATAAGTTGGTGTGTCACGACTCCCTGGTTGGGGTCCGTGAGATAGCTCGAATCGATGGCTCGAAACGTTATCGGATATGGCCAAGAATCGTAATCAATGGAGAACGTGTTGCAATTTCCTTCTATCTTCCCTTCCTGATGATAGTTAACGAATACCGTTTGAACTTGTTAAACATGACTGTTTTCCTTCAAGATGAAGTTCTTTATCCGTTTTCTACTTATATTTTTACTTTTAATCTATGTTGTTTTATTATTATTGTGTGGCGCATCTTTCTTGGTGCCATATTGTATCAAGTTTTTCTGCGTTTAAATAAAATAGCCATTACAGTTCAATTGTTGTTTAAACATACCCTAGGGAATGGACAACAACCCCATCCACCTTCAGCAACTTGACAACAAGTAGAGTTTGATGGACACGAGATATTACCACCAGGACATATGATATCTTTGGTTATCTTTGTTGAATGTGACAAGGATGAAATAGATGCTGGAGGTTTCTTTGAATTATCATCTTTTGGAGAAGTGAGTTGTTGTACACATCTTTTAGAGGCCAAATCACATGTATAACCATTTGGACAACAGTGTTCACCATCACTACAGCATACAGCCTACAATAAAGGAAAATATACCAATGGAGAGGTAGAGGTACGGTGAGGTAACTAATAATCATAACCAACCAGGAAAATAACAAACAAAAAAGGCAAATTTGTGAGTTGAATCAAAGCAAAATTCAGACAAATTTTTATGACAAACTCAACGAATAGGAACAATTACATCATTAAAAAAAACCGTTCGATTAACTTTATAGGTTTCCTTTCATGTGTTTCAATTTTGATCAGGAAACCGACTTCAGTTAGAAGACCATTAGATACCAGCGAGTATGCGATAGCTGTTTCGCTTTATCAGCGACTCTTCGACAGTGAGCACCCATGATCCAAGAATCCAACAGAGGACCTTCAGGTTACCAGTCGGACTCACTAACCATTCATTCAGGCGTGATCGGCGCGGTTTATCACGTTGGATGTGGGAACAGATGCTCATCGACGACTTTAGCTGTCGATGGCACTATATTACCACGAGTAAGTAGAAGTTGGGATTCGTGGGTGATTAGGTTCCGTCTCATTAACTGAAGGATAGACAAGCTTGCTGTGTGGGAGGCTGGATTTGGTAGTCCCCAGTGGGGTTGTGCGTGTGCACTGGTGAAGATTCCCAAACAAGGACGAAACAACTGTCCAACAATTGAAGGTTTTTAATGCTTATCTAACGGATGTCAATTTCGAACCCCAGTGGGGTGGATGCGCACTACCGAAGAGTCCCAAACTAGGCTGACAAAACAGCTGACTGTCTAGTACTCCATGCAGGCTCTTTATCAATGGTTCTATAACCGATATCACCAACCGTCCCAAGCCTTTGGTTCTTAGAACTCAGAGGGCCATACCAAGACAGTCTCTACATCATCTCCTTACATGTCTGTCAAAGACTGGATGGAATGATGCCAGGTTTCGGTTCGATTCACTACCCGCCCAATCCCGTCTCACTCTTTTCCAAAATCTAATCAGCAATTAAATCGTAGGGCACCATGAAATCGAAGAAAAATAAGGAACGAATAAGCAAACGACCAATTGTATCGCTCCCAGGAACTCCAACATGTAACTTATCCAAAGAATTATACAGAAAACTCAAACACCTAACGGAATCTTGTGATCACTCCATCAACTCTGCTATCCAATTTCTAGAGAAAATCAAAGGCATCCAAATAGATGAACAAGAAATAATAATATCCTTCGATGTCACAGCATTATATACCTCAATCGGACAAAACCTAGCAAAGGAGACCATGTGACAATTACTCAGCAACGACGAACACCTCCCACAACAATCAAAAATGCAACACACAAGCTGGATGGAATGCATAAACCTATGCCTAACAACGTACTTCCAATTCAACGGCCAAATATATGAACAACTCAAAGGAACACCCATGGGATCGCCAATATCAGGTTTGATTGCAGAAGCGGTGATGCAAAGGCTCGAAAACATAATCCTACCAAAGATCAAACCCAAGATGTGGATACATTACGTGGGCGACACATTTGTAATAATCAGAAGAAACGAGTTAGATAAAACTCACAACTTAATAAACAACGTCTTCAACGACATCAAATTCACAAGAGAAGAGGAATCCGAGAACAAAATCCCATTTTTGGACGTCTTAGTCAAGCGAACAACCATAGGGGAATCGGAAACCCAAGTTTATAGAAAATCAACTCACACAGACCACTACATTGGCCAAAGTGGACGTCCCCTTCGTCTTCGTACCCACAAACATAAGCTAGCTGTCAAAAGACATGATATCCACTCCCTCATATCACTACATACAGACAACCACGGATATCAATTCGACTGGGACAACGTTCAAATATTAGACAGACGAAACAACAAGAATGCTAGAGAATTTTTACAAGCTTGGCATTCCAGTGAATCATCAATCAATAGACACATCGAGATAGACAAAAATTAATCAACCGATAAGAAAGAAACCTCACACACAAAGGGTCAAAGCTCAAGTCAAAGAAACAATGAGTTACAATACAAGTAGCCTAGAAGGTGTGAAAACGTACAAAAACAAGCAATCACGTCCAAGGTTACCGGGAGAAATCTAAAAGCTCACTTCAACGAATTGAAGTCTATGCGCTGAAGATGTCACCTAGTAGGGTGATGAAAGCTTCGCAAATTAACTATCCAGCTCAGAGAACACAACCACATCAAAAAACATTTGCAACTGCTTGTGTCATGCAATGATAATTGCCTTTGCTGTTCACACACACACCAAGAGAGTAAAATTAGTATGATAACTTGAAAGATTATCGAATAAATTGATTTATTATCTCATAAATACAACATATATCATCACTATGGTAGCATGAAAAAGTCAATAATTAAGAATGTCAGCACAATTCAAAAACACATGTGGAAAAATCGTTGGATATCTAGAGCCCAGCTATGCGCATGCCTACACACACACAACTAAACACACCTTAAACAATAAAAATGACAACACAAATGACTAAAACATTTAAAATGTAATGCCATACATTCTTTTTCTTCATTGGTACGAGAATGAAATTGTGCGTCACAATAATTGAAATACAATTATTATTAGCCTAAAACTAATCAAGTCAGGAGTTTAAAAACGACCAATTCAGATCTGATTGAGACAAAGATTTCTTCGTGTCAAATGAAATAGCAACTCGCGTTTTCGTGCATAACGACACAGCCGGAGTCTAAAAAGACAGCTGTCTTTGACCACAGATGTTTGTGTTCCATCATCTCCCCCGCCCACCACTCCTAGTCGGGTTAAGTGGTATAATACGGTGAGCAATAGTGAAGTTAGGCGTAGAGTGTGGGACGTCAATCGATTGAAATGGCTAAGACACGTGTTGTACACCTGCCGAGTCACCACCACCTTCCTCATCAACGGGTAAATATCCCCTGACATCATCTAGGAGATAAGGTGAGAAAAGAGTTAAGGGTAGTGAAACCAAAACCTCCCACATCAACTGATGAAGTCTTTGATTGTTGGTTTGAGCCAGTCTCGTGTGGAGGTGTAGACTTCGTGGCTGGGTGACGTCGTCGGGATGCTTAGAACCAATGAAGAAGGCTGGAGACAATTGATGAGATGGTTCAAAATCTTCAAAATGAATGATGAAGACGCACTCACTCTTTGTGACCTTTCATATCCATTAAACCCTGATGTTTTTAGAAGTTACTATTTTTTTTCGCTTTCTCATACATATTTCTGCTGATTAGACACTTCACCTTCTCTACCTTTATGTGGTACGTGGAGTGTATGACAAGTTGAACTTGTGCAGTTCTGTGCAAGGTACTACGTTGAAATTCAGTCAGTCAGTTATGCAACTACTGAGATTTACGGTAAATATTTCTGCGTTCAAAATGCATCGTGTACTGTGTTAGCATTCAAGCGATAAAGTGTAGAGTTGTGATTCATTGGCTTGAACACTTGACTACCACCGGTCAATTGATGAAGAATTCGAATCCCGCCCGCTACACCTATTTCATTCAGCCTGAAAAACTTGATATTACTAACACTCTACACACACACACACACACACACACACACACACAATAAGTGTACGCCAAAGTCTGAAAGATGAAAAAATGTGTGTATACACTCTGGGGAGCTAAGTTCTAACTGTGCGTCGGTGGCACAGCGGTTAGGGCTCTCGCCTACCATGCATATTGTCAGGGGTTCGATCCCTGGCCAATGAACGCACTCCTTTACCTCACTAAGCCAGAAATAAAGCTGGTGAAGAGGAAAGGTTGGGCATGAGGCTGGCTAGCGACTCCATCATGTAAAAATAATCACCACTGCTACAGAAACTTCAAGCCTTTAGGTTGAAGCCCTATGTTCCACTGGGGACGTGAAGAAATTAGTAATAATATTAATAATAATAAGTTCTAACTAAACAATTAACATCACACTTGACTGGACGCATTGTTTGTCATCATGCTTCGAAATTAGTTGTTACTTCAAGAAATTGACCCGCCACAGTCGCTAATAAAGACTGAAGGGATTTCTTTGTGTCATTTTTTTCTGTGTAGTGATTGGAACGATATTTTCGAACTCTGTTGACAAATCTGTCGGTCACAAATCAATCAAGGTGAGGAATAAAACTGACTTGAAGAAGTGGTAATTGATAAACGTGGCACAGGAAGTAGCTGTCGTCACCCTAGTGGTTCAGTAGATAACGCCTTGGCATTTTCAATGATGGACACTAGATTCAAGCGAGGGGGATGCAGGCACATAGAAGTGATGAGTGCCAAATAGGGACGGAAGGCACATCCTGGATTCCACTGACAGTCACCAAGAGATTAAAAGGGGTTATGCAATCCTCCCAAAACTATCTAGTTGAAAGGCATAATACGCTAGTACCGAACCATATTCTGCAGAATTAGACGATTTCTCCGACAACTAATTGGTCAGAGATTCCTTTTCGCAATAAGAAAGATTTGCAGCTCAGGTGTTGTTGCGTTCTTTGAGCCGAGCGAAGCTTTCATTGTCCGCCTAGACTACACATATTCAGCTCTTTTTTATTTATTATTGATTAAAACACATTCCTGGTACATTATGAATGCCAAGAGATGCGCCACACAAAATGTCATCGTTTGTTCGAAGGCTGGGATACTGCTTGGTAGTCCAGACCGAAACAGGTTCTTATTTTATAGGATCAACCCCCACCACCGAGCCTCTCACCTGAAGTCCGATCCAAAAGGAAATGGAGCAGAGTCAGGAACTACGTTCCCACGGGTCTTGGTAACCCAAACAGGTTCATTGGTCATTCGATCCTTTCTGATTCTGGAGTGCATGTTTACCGTGGGTTTGGAATGAGCTCCCCTAGGTAGAGCTGCGTATTTACCAATACGGTTGTAAGCGCCAGACGTTCGCATCTGCGCTTTCACTTTTGTGAGGAACACCTCGGCAGAGTGAAGACACAGAACAGGACTTATCTGGTAGAGGCTATGAGCATATGGCCATATAAGAGCATTTCGACCGGAAGACCGAAGCTTATCCACCCTAGGTCACATCAGATCGTTTATGGGGGCCAGCGATTACTAGCATCACTCTGAAGTGAGTTTTTTTGGGGGGGTGGATTTTCTAGGATAAAACTGTCTCTTCTGATGACCTTGAGTGTGATTCGTTACCTTCAGGAGTTTTGTTTATCTTTGCACTCATTTGTATTTGATAATGATCATTTGGTTGACTTGAAGACCACAAAGACAAGTGAGATAACAAAAAGTGCTACTTTAAAATGTGACACACCAATAAATAATAAATAAATCGTACGTCAGTGGTTCAGAGGTGGAATGCCCGCCCTCCATGCCACAGGTGGTCCGAGGTTCGATTCCCGGCGGATTCACTCCTCCCCAATTTCGTCCAACCGGTAGTAAATTCGGAAAAAAGAGGGAAAGTTGTGCGTGAGGCTAGCAATCTCAATTTGCATAAAAACACGAGCGCCACTGTAACTTAAAAGCTTCAGTCCATATGTTCCACTCGGAAAGCAAAGCAATTGAGTGAAAACAAAGGAAGAAAACATCAGGAAGTTTATACGAAACCATACAAAAGCCAAAAAATTCATTCACTGATACCAATATCTAATTTGACTAACACATATAATTATCTTCCTTATAAGGAAAGACATTTTAGATTGAAAAACACTCAGAACAACACAGCCTTGTATATATAAGATAAGAGTTAAGCAGGTTATATGTATATGAGCTGAATATTTTCCTCAAGTAGGCAGTAGTAATTACGCCTACACACACACACACACACACACAGAACTTTGTTTTATATATATGTGATAACTTCGAGAAAGGCGTATAGAACTCAACATGAAAGATTTGAATGAAATTGACAATCGATATGTAATCGGTGTAGGGATAATAAAAATAAATGTACTCAGGTATCATGGAGAAGATTTATCCCTCAGGTGGATAATATTAGGCGTAGGTTATGTTCACTTAGCTGGATGGTGGTTTAATTGTGAATACTTCACAAATTGAAGTATGCGCTGAAGACATGTTACTGACAGTTTCGCATTATAGACCATCCACCTCAGAGAACACAACCATACTAATCAATGTATTCATTCATTAATTGGACAGTTAGAAGGATAGTTGGAAAAGCCTTTCATCAGTTAGAGAACCACTGAAAAACCTGGGAGTACTGGACAGCTGTTTCGTCCTAGTTTGGGACTCTTCAGCAGTACGCGCCCATCGGGATTCGAACCCAGGACCTTCTGGTTACAAGGCGAGCTCGTAGACCATTGAGCCACTGGGACCCGATCCAATAGTCCTTGAATTCTAACTTCTGCCAATTCACTATATAGCGTGACTATTTCGCAATGTCTTCTTCGATGAGTTACTGCCTAATCTTCAACCTGCTCTACCCTACTGGTCACGGCTTCCCTGACCTGGGGTTCTAGTGGGAAGCCGTGACCAGTAGGGTAGAGCAGGTTGAAGATGAGGACAGTTACTCATCGAAGGAGACATTGCGAAGTGGTCGCGCTATGTCATGCGTGAAGTTACAATTCATGGGCTAGCCATTGAGTCGGGTCTCAGTGGCTGAATAAATGGTCTACGAGCTCGCTAGCCTTGTAACCAGAAGGTCTTGAGTTCGAACCCCGCGGCGTGAGTGAGTATTGATGAAGAGTCCCGAACTATGCTGACGAAACAGCTGTCCAGTACTCTCAGGTTTTCCAGTGGTCCTCTAACTGATGTCAGCTCATGATGAAATCCTCCATGCAATCAAAGAAAATCTATACAAAACTAATACTTGAAAAAGCTTTTATCACTGTGTACGTCGACAGAGACATGGAAGAAAGCAGAGGTCTTTCACAAATGAAAAATTCTACGAAACTCCAACAGAGCGTTGGGATATATTCGAATAGATGGTATGCAAGGAGAATGGAGGTCGAGTAGTATCACGTGTACCCATCCAATGAGCTTTTACACTATTTAACCGAACTGGTCACAGATTTGTTGTCTAACATAGAAACCTGGCTGCTCCATACTGGACTTTATTTACAGTGACTCGAAGACATCTGCATCCGGATTGCAGCATTTCTAATCAGCTAATTGAGAGATATTTAAACTACCAAACGCTCTGACAGTGTTCTCATGATTTCATATTGCCAGTTATGACAAGGGAGATGGAATAGTATGTAACCAAACGACTTACGTATAGGGTTCATTTGGAGTTGAATGCTATGTGTATGAGTCCCTTCGTGAAAATACTCACTATATGTGAAATAGGATCTAAAAGAACCCTAAAATAAATGAATGTACACTGAATAATTTTGAGGTTCCACAATGATAGCTAACTTCACTTCTCTACGCTTGACGACACAGCAAAAAACATAGTGAAGGCCATCAAGATTCACAACATGGTTTGGTCCGGCTTCCTATAACTATACGAATTTATAGCCAGCTTAACAATTCTCCAACAACAATCAACATAAATGGGAGAAATCTGAAAGAAGCAACCTCCTCTACCTACCTGGGAAGCATTGTTCCAACTACAGGCGGACGGAAGTGACGAAGATATCGAAGTGCGAGGATCGAGAAAGCAAGGCAAGCTTTCATTACTCTCAAGTCTGTGTGGAGATCAACAGCATTCAGCATGAAAAATAGGATCCGGCTTTCCAACTCCAATGTGAAGTCAGTGCTATTCCACACGGATCAAAGACCTGGCGCGTCAAGAGGGCACTTCGAACAAACCACAGACCTTCATCAACAATTGTCTTCGCTCAATATTACTCAAGATCAAGTGACCGGTCAGAAAAGATCAGCAACAGGGATGTCTGGGAACGAACCAACCCAGCAGGAACCAATTGTGCAACAAATATGCGAAAAGAAATGGAGGTGCATTAGCCCTACTCTGAGAAAGCAAACCATCAAGTGAGTGACATCACACACCGGATCATCGCTCGAGTGGAAGCTGAATGAGAAGCGGTGAATTGGTCGTCACTGCGACGGTGACATGGAGGAGCTGATGTGAAGAGGAGATGAAAGCATGTGGGCAAACATGGAGCCAGGTGGAGACGTTGGCAGAGAACCAAATGCAATGAAGACGTGTGGCTGAAGCCCTATGTTCCTCTAGGAACTAGACGAGACAATAATAATAATAATTAACACTCCTCCATGATTAAAGGAGAGTGTGTTTCTTCGTTTGTAAGCAATATATTATGCATTCGCTTGGTAGACAGAAAAATTCTACTAATCTTTGCTCTTGTTAATCGCAGGAGCTTTGCCATGTTTCCTTATTTTGACGAGAATTTCTCTCATGAAGAGCCACCACGTATCGTGTCTAACCGCTTAACCTGTATCTTGCCCTAGTTAGTTGGTTAGTTAGTGAGATCTCAGTTAGCCAGTATCGGGCCATAAACCACAACTTATTGTGTGAGAGTTAATGATACTACCCAGCTACCTAGGCTGTAGTAGGTGGAGTGGGACTCGAACCTTGACCCCCCCCCACCATTGACTGAAAGCCGAATACTTAAGTCAATGTACCATATCTCCAGAAATCTGCTCTACAGTTGTTGTAACAGAGTTTCTTTACCGTTCTATTAATTAGTCAATTGTAACATTCTTATTGAACTTATCAAAATCATCAACTATTAGAGATTCGCATTCAAAAAACTATGTCAAGGTATATTCATCAGTGAACCGAATTGTTGTTCTATTTCCTGTAGATGTACATTTCAGCGAAAGCGTGAATTTTTCGAAAGAATTGAAATTTTTTCAGTACATCTTTCGGCTATACTCCCATCGTAGTAGTAGTGTGGTGAGAGCTGGCTGCTAGCCAAAGTTGGTAGACAGTAATTAACGTCAATGTTTATGTCCCCAATATTGGTGGTGAGAAAATGAGAACTAAGGCTTTGCGTAGGCGGATACAGTTAGCATATGGATGATCTGACACAGCCACAAAGAGATGCAAGGTTAACTTTCTGTGAGAAACAACCAATCAAAAGACTGCATTTTCTACTAACAATAATCTACAATAATGTACATTAAAATCTATAAATATGTGTTGATTTTCCTTAATAAACGATCTGTCGCCTGGCCCTTGTCTTCTGTTGTTACAGCAGTACTTAATGTGAATAACATTCAGGGCACCAATAAAAAAAACAGACACTACGGTCAAATGACCTTGAACCAACCAATCACATCGCCCCTAGGCATTACAAATGCATGCTATTCATAATCTTCGTTGCAGGTTTCACCCAAACCTTTACCATAACCCCACCTTGACCCTGAATCCGGATGAAACGTGCAACCAAGATAATGAATCTGAGTGGTTATTTTAAGGCCACTTGATTGTAGTATCCGTTCTTCATCCTTGCTATACTCAACTTACTCTTGTAAGACGACTCTATGATAGATATCGCTTTGGCGTTTGAAACTATTGGCACTGGGTTCGAGCCTCGGTGGGAACATCATCACTCACTGGGGAATGCAGGTACATCCAGACGACGAGTCCCGAATAGGACGAAATGCGCATCCCGGCTTGATTACACTGCTAGTCACCGTCCACCAATTAAATTCTATGATAGACAGTTGGTCAAAATTCTGAGTAGAATATAAACAAATCCTACACAACCTCCACACACACACCCCACCCCAGTATATGTGCTAATAAACAACATTTAAGCATAAATGTCACTTAGCTTACTGGCAATACTCACATTTTCAATAGGACAACAACCCCAACCCTTTGTTTCTTTCAATTTACAACAAGTTTGATCATCTCTACAACGAGATTTTCTATCTGGACATAATTGTTCACCACTCACTGTTGACATGAGAGTGGAGATGAATTCAACACTGTTCAAGTAGTCACCATTATCATGATCATTATTAACTTTATCATTGTACAACAACTGTCCACTAGAATTACGCATAACAGCTTTGAAACATCCATTGTTAGAAGAACAGTTAGCCTACATAGAGAAAAAAATAAGTGAAGAAGGAAGAAGGGAAGAAGAATATTAAGGTCTACTCTGAGTAGAGAGAGAGAGAGACAGAAACAGAGAGATGGGGAAAGAGAAGTTATTGATCGTAAAAGAAAATAAAAGACTTTCAAGTGCTGGTTTGCAGAGATCACGAACTAAGATCAGTTAGAGAACTCGATAGATGTTTCATACTAGTCTCTGGGAACTCTCTTCGACAGTATGCACCCATGACCTCACACCAGAAATCGAACTCAGAGGTAAGTTCGCTGACTATTCATTCAACAACTGGGAGGGAATTCAATGGCCCACGAATTATACACGGATACACAGCGCCACCACCAACTAACACTCTCCAGTGACTGGCTACAAAATGTGGATGCCTAAAGTTCTAGTCAAAAGTCGTGACCAATGGGATCCACTAAGTCGAGTGTGAAGACAAATACCCGCCGATGACAGAGGTGAAAATTTATGGGCCATTATATTCCAATTCTAGTGACTGAATGATAGGCGGGCTTATCTTAAACTTTGAGTTCGACCCCCCAGTGAGATCACAGCTGCACACATTGAAAAAAAGCCCCCCACCCCACCCCAACTGGGACGTGGCATATGTCAAATATTCCCTCAAGTTCTCGATAACTCCCTAACTAACTGAAACCAGTTCGTGATCTAACTTGAAACGAAAGATTGTATATTTCAGAAAATAGTAAAATAGGCTGCATCAAGGGAATGAATGGCTTCTACCACGGTTGTATATTTCTGTATTCTTGTGTCTAGAAGAAACTTGATAGCTTGTTTTGACTTCCTAACAATCGAATTCTGTCGATAACTGACTATTATTGGAAGTGAAAGTAGTATTAACTGCCAAACTAATTTTCGTCCTAGTTCGGGACTCTTCATCAGTATGTACCAACCAGGGTTCGAAACCAGCACCTTCTGGTTACAAGGCTAGCGAGCTCGTAGACCATTAAGTCACTGGGACCCGACACAATGACCGACTGTCCAGTACTCCCTGCAGGTTTTCCAATGGTTCTCTAACTAATGTCAGCCCATGGTGAAATCCTCCATCCAATCAAACAAAATCCCTACAAAAACCGATACTTGAAAATTGATCTGATGCTCACTAGCGACTGGCCCTGTTCAGTCAGTTACCTAGGGTTCTAGTGGGAAGCCGTGATCGGTAGGGCACAGCAGGTTGAAGGTGAGGCAGTAACTCACCGAAGATATTGCTAAGTGGTCGCGCTATGTCGTGCGTGAATTGACAGAAGTTAGAATTGATGGACCGGTCATGGGATAGGATCCCAGTGGCTTAATGGTCGCTAGCCTTGCAACCAGAAGGTCCTGAGTTCGAACCCCGCGGCGTAGGTGCATACTGTGAAGAGTCCTAAACTAGGCTGACGAAACAGCTGGCTGCCCAGTACTCCCTGCACGTTTTACAATGGTTCCCTAACCGATGTCAGCTCATAATGAAATCATCCAACCAGTCAAAAAAATTCCCTATAAAATCAATACTTGGAAAATTAATTTTTAACAACACTCGAACACCAATAAAACATTATTTACCCTTGCTTTGCAACGGTTAATCATACAATTCTCGCACCGACCAGGACAAAATCTACCTACAACTATACATGTACGAAGTAATGAATCACAACAACGAGGATGAAAGTGTCAATGATATTGTCCCAATGTAAAAAAAGAAAAAAAGGCGGTTGCTTGAACTTATGACAAAATTTGATGTACATATGTTTGTTCGTTTGTTTTTACTGAATTTCTCTTACTACTCATGAAACGTAGCCAGGTTGGTAGATAAGCGATAGAATTCTCCATAACTACGCCTCACGTGATCCGGGGTTTGACTTCCCACCGACACATTCCTAACACAACCTAGCGTAGCTGGTAGACAGCCTGGTGCAGGCAGGGGAAAGTTGGGCATGGGACCAGGAACCTCGCTCCATAAAAGACAAAATTACCGCTACTAAAACTGTAAGCCTCAAGCATGAGAGGTCCTATATGTCCCACTTAGAACACAAAGGGATACAAAAAAACTAAGCACAGCTAATGTGTGTCTAACACACACCTGTTTATTGACATTCCTCCCAATAACCCACTGGAACAACACTGCTGTTCATATTTGCCTCAAACATGCAGTCAATGATACGAAAAGATATTTACCCAATCACATAGCACAAGTGGTAGGTAGAACAATTGTACAATTTATACGGACTCCAGAATATCATCTATTCTATTGGTGTCTTGTGTCATTTTCTGCAGCTGTCCGTAGTATGTGATAAGGTCTCTTGTCGGACGGCAATAACTCCAAATAGGATGTGCACATGATCGGCGTCAAGAAGTCACTTTGACTCTGTGGTCACACATATAACACTAATACTCTTCCTGTGTTCATGTATTCCTGGATAGAGTTCACATTTTCTCTATTTACTGCTATTAATTTCGTATTATCGAGTCGTCTTAGGTGGAATGTGGCTCTATTTGGTGGGAAGGCGATAGACAGGCAGGCAGGCACGCTTTAACGCGATAATTTCTCCACTTATACATACATCTATTAGGAATACACGATACACTACAAAAATGGTTTTAGTCATTAAAAAAAAAAAGACATTTGCATGAAAACGAAGCTGAGAGCGAAATCGCATTCACATTAATTACGGTTGGCGTTCGATTTTTACAGAAAAAACTGGGTGCAGTGATGTTACTCAAAAAATCATTATAAGTATATCATAATTCAGTTTTTTACTAAGCGAAGAAATATTTCCCCTTCAACGACTTCATTTTCAACCAGCTGTAGTCAGTCTTACTTACTTACTTTGCTTCGGCTATCTCCTACGGAAGGATGAGCCGGCTTCATGAACTCAAATCATCGCTACCCAGGCGCAGCGATCTGATGAAGAGAGTTTACGAAGTTTCATGGGAATTTGGTACGACTGATGTCCCCAGAACCACTCGGCCTTTTGTTTGATAGTGCAGCTCTAGCCTTTACACAACCAAGTGTGACCTACAAGGCAGTAGGAGTGGACTAGGGAGTCCACTATCCATTGGCAGCCGGTGACCGGAGTTCGGTTCATACGCCTTTTTGAATGGGGCCAGACATCCAGGACATCCAACAAGCCCTTTGTCCATACGTCTGCCGGTGAGCTCCAGTGAGCTGCATACGCCAGTCGTTGGAGGTTTGGAATCAGGGTTTAGCCATCTCCCCCAGACTGTCATCCAATGGACAGTCAACCCGGTGAAGAGCGCCGGGCATCCGCTTTCGCCCTCTCACTTTGGTGAAAAACACCTCCGCCACGTGAAGGCAGTGAGTAGGACTTCCTCAGGAGAGGCTATGTAAGACGCCCGGTCATATGGGAGCATTTCAAGAGGTGTGCGGAGGGGTGGCCAACCCGCAGCGCAAGGCACCCACCCCCGACCATCCTGAGGCTGTAGTCAGTCAGTCATATTTATATTACCATGGGAAATAAAGGCATTAAATGGCACTGTCTGTAAATTGTTCAATCGCGCTAAATAACGAAGTGAATAGAAGTTAGAATTCATGGGCTGGTCAATGAGTCGCGTCCCAGTGGATGAATGGTCTACGAGTTTGCCTTGTAACCTGAAGACACTGGGTTCGAAACCTGCCGGTAGGTTCGTAGTGTTGATGAATCCCAAACTAAGCTGACGAAACAGCTGGCTGTCCAGTACTCCAGTAGTGGTGTTCAGTGGTTCTCTAATTGATATCAATCCGTAATATCAATTTAGTTTATCCAATAATAGCCTGCTGGGGTGATTGTCAGGTCAAATAATACATAGGTCAAAGTAGTAGAACAGGGGCAGTCAGACTAGCAGAGCACATAATCCTGGCAGCTAAATCTAGATTAGTTGACACGAATAGGATAAGAAATCTGGAGATTAGTTCAACTATAACACTCACTACATGTAATTACACACAACCATACAATAGGATGGGATAAGATGACAGCTTTTAAATCTAATGTAACAGGGTGGAAGGAGAGATTGACAACACAAGCTTTATTTATCGAATCAACTGCAAACACGTGTAATAGGAATGACTCAACAACACCTGTCCACCCACCCGGACATCTGGAAAATTCTACTACTCCTACGACGACGAATAGGAAGGAATGAAGAAAACTATAAAACTCAAGTCTTGAAGTTGTGTAATTATAATTGATGAAGTGATTATGAACAATACTAGATTGTGTTCGAAACTTCATCATCCAGTGAATCATACTGTTTCACTGTGTGTGTGATCTATCTAATAAACAAATTAATATGGAATTACATACTACCACTGTGCTGCCCAAGTTTCACACCCTGCAAACTCTTGAAAGCATACACATATGATAAGATTAAAGGTAATAAACATGATGGGCATCTACTCTTTCTTATAACTATGTAGAGCTGATTACATTGGATGTTGTAAGCCTGTTCTTCGTAAATGTTTAGGTGAACACTACTCCGTTGGGTTGATGAAAGGTGAGCATAGGATGGGAGAATTCTTTCATCTGTGAACACCTTCATGAGTCCGATCACTGAAGACCACGCGATTTATCCTTCCAAGTTGTCAACATGGCTGAATTCAGTCACTCTAAAAGTATCCGTTTTCTCCACTAATGTATAGCTGGAGCTCTACGTGTATACATGGACAAAAGCCTAAGCAACAGAGCCAAACGTCTAGTTACTAAGAAGGAAGAGATCAGCAGGGAACTAAAATTGGTTCATTTCACTCTTGAATCAAATAATTATTTCAAAGCTTCCATAAAAAGATATTTAAAATGTGAAGATAAGGATGGATCGAAACCTGTTGCTAAGAATTGGGTTAGTACAGCGATGATTCCTTACCAACAAAGAAAAATCGAATAAGATAAAGTAAATCCTTAACAATCATGATATAAGAGTGTATTTTCGTGCAACTGACACCCTACGCTCCTCATCACTGGTGAAGGTTAAGGATAACAAAATAGAAAAAGACAACCAACAGAATTGTGTGTACCAGATCAATTATGGGGACGGTGACACCATATACGTAGGAGAAACTTCCAGACAGGTAAATATAAGAGTGAAAGAGCATAAACAATATGTGCAAAGGTGGTTCCAAAGACCTTTGCAGACTTAAAGAAGCTAGAAATCAGATTAGCGATTGCACTGCATTCGATAGAAATGGGACACAAATTCAACTTTGATAGGACTAAGGTTCTACAGAAAGGTTTTGGTTCATATAAAGAAAGACTGACTGCAGAAGCCCTACATATATGAGTGAATCCCAACAGTTTGAACAGACGTGAAGGCGTGATGTTGGCTGATGCATGGCAAATCCTGATTAGTAAATAAAAAATCGATACTTATCACTAATTAATCACGCATGGTCTAAATTTCTGATTGTCTATATCTTCTTATGGAGAGTCTAACAAATGTTTTACAACTGATTACCCATGCACACATACACACATACCATTGTATACGGCATATACACAAATATTTTCATATTCAGTTATCTACAACCATGGACTTTTATTCAAACGTGTTTGACAAAAAATAGACTAATGTTTGTAAGTCTGAGGTCAAATTTTGATCACAGCTCATACTATTTTCAAGTATTGGTTTGGTAGGGATTTTGTTTAATTGTATGGAGGATTTCATCATGAGCTGACATCAGTTAGAGAACCACTGAAAAACCTGGGAGTACTGGACAGCTGTTTCGTCCTAGTTTGGGACTCTTCAGCAGTACGCGCCCACCGGGATTCGAACCCAGGACCTTCTGGTTACAAGGCGAGCTCGTAGACCATTGAGCCACTAGGACCCGATCCAATGGTCCTTGAATTCTAACTTCTGCCAATTCACGACATAGCGCGACCATTTCGCAATGTCTTCTTAGATGAGTTACTGTCACATCTTCAACCTCCTGTACCCTACTGGTCACGGCTTCCCACTAGAACCCCAGGTTAACTGCCTGAATAGGGTCAGTCACTAGTGAGCATCAGATTAATTTTCAAGTATTGGTTTGGTAGGGATTTTGTTTAGTTGTATAGAGGATTTCATCATGAGCTGACGTCAGGCAGTTAACCTGGGGTTCTAGTGGGAAGCCGTGACCAGTAGGGTACAGGAGGTTGAAGATGTGACAGTAACTCATCTAAGAAGACATTGCGAAATGGTCGCGCTATGTCGTGAATTGGCAGAAGTTAGAATTCAAGGACCATTGGATCGGGTCCTAGTGGCTCAATGGTCTACGAGCTCGCCTTGTAACCAGAAGGTCCTGGGTTCGAATCCCGGTGGGTGCGTACTGATGAAGAGTCCCAAACTAGGACGAAACAGCTGTCCAGTACTCCCAGGTTTTTCAGTGGTTCTCTAACTGATGTAAGCTCATGATGAAATCCTCCATACAATCATACTATTTTGTTTGTTTATTATATTTCGGTGACTCTTTCATGACTCATATGATTGGACAAACGTTTTAAAAAAACAAAAGATGTCCTTTTTATGTATAAACCTCTGTTATGCTAACTTCGATTAACTTCCCTGAAGAAATCTTAGCCACCAGTTCGCCGAAAGGCAGGGAACGTTGGAAGTACTCATTTCAATTTCGCTGAGATTTTACAAATCAAAATTTCTTTTTTAACTAAACAACACTATAGGTTCAAAAATGTTTTGTTAAACTTCTTTCTTTACCTTAGACATAGTAATGTCCTCATTCCACTTCGCGCTTTATCTACACCTTCATCAATATTATCATCATAGCACTTTCAATTATATTTTTCACCACACTTGACCTACTTAGTAAAATCTTAATGCCAATTCACTTATTTCGGTCGGTCGGTCGGTTTTCGACATAGAACTTTGCACATATGTGCGGCAGTTCAAGTCGCCACAATCTATGTAGCACGCAAAGCAGGAGAAGGAAGTAGAAGAAATGCATAATATAGACAGTAAACAGAGGTGTGAGACAAAGGAATTAAATTAAAAATTTTGTAGTTCATCTGCTGGGAATCCACTCTATGCTATGAATATCATTACCTTTAATCTTATTATAATATGTGCATGTTGACCGAGCACAGTTTTCAGTGCTATTTAATGCCCTTTCCTGTAACTGTAATACAAAAACGGCTAACCACAGGCTGAAGACATGAAGTCGTTGAAAGCAAATACTTCTTTTCTCTGAACAGAAAAAACTGTGATTTCGCTTATTAAAGAAATAAATGAGTATATATAATATTTCGTGAGATATATTTAAAATATTCAAGAGTTGGGTTACTTACATCAGGGAATGGACAACATGCCCATCCTTCTTCTGTACTAGGACAGCAAGTTGTACCAGATGGACATTCAAACAGTAGATCTGGACATAAGATACCAGTATAAGACATTAAAAATTTAGCAGATGAGTTAGTTGCTTTTCTTCCCACAATACCTTTTGGCTGATTGATATTTGGATTAGGGCGAGCAGGTTTAGACGTCTTTGTCAAGTATAGGTTATCAAAGAAATTGTTATTGTTATTATTATTATTCGCTTCCAAGATTTGATGAGTGTTTAAAGGCTTACAAATCTGCTGAGTTACATCACACACTAATCCTTGAGGGCAACAATGCTTTCCATCCGAACAACAAATCGCCTGATATAAAAAAGAAAGAGATCATGAAGAAGATAGATACATTTATGACTGTAGCTAACGACTACTATTACAGGAATTATTGCTTTAGAAATGCCTCAAGTAACAGCTGTGGTGTGAACATTGATTGAACATATTGATTTCAAAGGACCTCTTCCTTCAAACTCCCGGAACAAATATCTTCTTACGATAATTGATGAGATGATTGAAAAGATTTCAAAATATACTGTATTTAGCACTTTGGATTTAAAGAGTGCTTACCATCAAATACCCATCAAAGAAGAAGAGAAACTCTACACAGCTTTTGAAGCTTGCGGCAACCTCTATCAGTTCCGTCGTATTCCCTTTGGTGTCACAAACGGTGTTTCGTGTTTTCAGAGAGTTATCAGTCAGATTATCAGAAATGAAAATCTTCAAGCTACATTTGCTTATTTAGATAATATAACTATTTGTGGTGAAAACACAGAACAACATGCAAAAAATCTTGCCCGGTTCTATGAAGCATCCAGAAAATATGGGCTAACATTCAATGAGAATAAAAGTGTTATTGGCGTTAAACAAGTAAACCTTCTAGGCTATGAAGTTTCTCATAAAATGATCAAACCTGATCCCGATAGACTTCAAGCATTATGGAATTTATCACCTCCACGAGATCTTAAATCCCAACAGCGAGTCATTGGTCTCTTTGCGTATTATTCACAATGGATATCTCATTTCTCCGATAAAATTCAACCCCTTATACAAAATAAAATCTTTCCATTACCAGGTACTATTGTAAGCTCATATGCAGCATTAAAAAATGAACTTGCTCAATTTGTGATGACTACTGTGGATCTCGACTTGCCCCTTATAGTGGAAACCGACGCTTCGGATACTGCTATAGCTGCCACGTTAACACAAAATGGTAGACCCGTTGCATTTTTTTCCAGAACACTATCACCAAGTGAACGGCATCACTCAGCGGTGGAGAAAGAAGCTTATACCATCGTCGAAGCTATTAGAAAATGGCGTCATTATTTACTTGGTACTCATTTCCAACTCATTACAGACCAACGATCAGTTTCTTTCATGTACGATATGAACCACCATGGGAAAATAAAGAATGACAAGATTCAGCGTTGGCGAATAGAACTTTCTTGTTACAGTTTTGATATAATCTACCGTTGTGGCAAAGAAAACAAAGTCGCCGATGCATTATCTCGCGGATATTCTGCTTCTGTCATGGGTGAAACTAATCTGAAAGGCCTACATAACTCTCTGTGCCATCCAGTTGTTCGCCTTCTTCACTTTGTGCGTTCTAAGAACCTACCTTTTTCTGTTGATGATGTGAAGAGGACGATATCTAGTTGTGTAGTTTGTGCTGAGCTGAAACCCAGGTTTTGCAAAGTATCCACAGGAAATCGTATTAAAGCGACTTCTCCTTTTGAACGTCTAAACAATTTTAAAAGTCTTGACTCCTTATGCTGTGTATTCTCAAACAAAAGGGGAGAAGAATGTGGTGTGAACATTTTCATAAACGTTTAGCATTTATATTATACACTATTCACATCTTTCATTTTTGTTTAAACCAGATTCTATACTGGAATTATAAAACGAATAAAGCCTTTATTGCGGGCCCTCAATATTCTCACTTGATCGGTGAATGTTTGATTAACTCATAAACACTACAACAGCATACTCATTGATTGACTTATAAACGTGAAACACTGAGCAAAAAGGCTACAATTTAAATTGCCAGGCATCATCATAAAAGTCTACAGAAGGGTAAAAAGAAATGCAATGAGAGCAGATGTGCAGGAGAGGTGAAGATAATTAGATATGATTAACAGTGAAAACCTCCAAAATAAATCTGACAGACTACTAGAAGTGAATAACATTTGTGCCAGTGAGAAGGATTTTCGACCATGTTACCAATAACCACTAACCATTGATTTACAGAGTGCTGTAGACACCAGATGATACGTGGTTTACACCTCCCCACGCGCACAATCTAAGTCAGATTGCTTTCAGTAAATATGCCTAAACCATAAAGTACTAAAGAACAAAAACTGCTTCCAAACATATAAACTTTTCGACGGGTACACAGATACTATGCATGAACCGACAATGATATAAGAGATGTCATATATCAAACAGGACTTTAAATTTACCCATGATGAAATCTTGTCGCCAACTAGTTGATTCGGGGTTGATGCAGTCCCTCAACTGCTCATAGTCTTTATGTAAAACCACTATACAATAAATATGTGCTTCCAGTCGAGAAGGGGTTGGATAGAGCCCAGACTTATTAGTAGACAAACAAATAAAATCAAATAATTGTAAGAGGCAGTGAAAAATTAAACTATACTAGATTTCAGAAAGAAGTGTGTAGATAATCTACTCTTCCCGACCTAAAAGAGGAAAAGTAAGGTTGCAGAACCCAAAACTAGTTTGCTTAAGGCGAATAGAAAAAGTACATTAAGCTGAATAATGTATGTTGACACCAAAATATTTGATGATACTAGATAGTTGGAGACAATCGGCAGGAAGCCTTGGACCTAGGTTTTGTGCTAGTTGGCACTCGTTGGCAAAGCGTATCTGCAACGTTGAAAGAATTCATGTCCCTTCAGAGACTCGAACTCGCGTCACCCAGTGCTGCAGTCAGAGACGTTACTACTGAGCTATTCGGGCTCGCGATTGACACCATAATATATATCCCAACAAACAGATTACTACAGACACAACAATCAGAAATTATCACAAAACAATTCTAAACATACATTAGGATGTTGACAGCAACCCCACTTTTCATGGGCCATTGGGCAACATGTTGTATTTTCAGAACATACAGACAGGCGATCAGGACAAATGACAGTTTTCGTAGACAGTTGCCAAGGCACCAGGTCATTTGCTTTCTGTGTTGTCTTGTTTATTTGCTGTAGAAAAAAGGGAGATGTAGAAAATTACTTGAAAATTAAAAAAAAGCGAACACACCTGAAATGTGAGTGAATCAATAGTCTATCTGCAATACCAGTTGCTTTAAAAATGCGAATAGTATACTCTCGACAAAAGGTAATAAGCACTATATAAAATACGATTTAGATTAGTTTATTTACTACATACTTGAACATAAACAAAAAGTACACCTGGAAAAAACTCGAATTACTTTGAAATTAGAATTGGCAACAGTGGAGAATAAGTACCACCATTTAGATTGGAAGACATGAAAAGGTTAGCTGTCTATGATTGTAGGTGCCTTAGTTCTTTCATTCGTGTTAAGTGGCATAATAGGGTGAGCAATGTTGAGGTTAGGCGTTGAGTGCCAGGTAGAGAGGGGAAATCAATAGACGAAGCTGTGAGGTTACATCGATTGAGATAGTTAGGACATGTGTTACACATGCCTAGCCATCGTCTCCCTCGACAGCAGGCAATGTTAGCTGACATAGGATGGATCAGGTAGGAAACAAGCCAGTGGTGCTCAAACCAAAGCATGGCTTCATCAGTCAATAAAATCCACAACAGTTAGTCTAAGTCACGTACGAAGGTGTAGAATTCCTGGTTGGGGTCCTCGGGATGGTAAAAACCAATGAAGGCTGGAGACAATCGGTGATATGGCTCAAAATCGTTTTCAGTGGCTGGCGCAGATGCATCCACTCCTTGTGACTTATGATTTCAAATGAAACCATATTGTTATCCGATATTACTATTCTTTTTGCTTCAAATCTCTGTTTACTGTCTCTATTTTGCATTTCTTTTTACTTTCTTCTCTGGCTTTGTGTGCTGAGTGATGTGTGGCAACTCAAACTGCTGCACATCAGTGCAAAGTTCTATGTTAAAACCAGTCAGTCAGTACATACAGAAGTCGTTCAATCTAATTCATTTGATTTTAACATAAGTTGATATTTATCAATCACTGAATTCCAGTTTAGTATATAAAATTTCGATGAGTCGACAATGTTCCTTATAGACCCTGCGTACCGTGTCTGATTGGCTCTTGGATGAGTACCACTGGACAGCTTAAAATTGGGATGAAACAGCAGTCCAGTTTTCAGTGATTACTTAAATGATTTTGATTCTTCAATGAAATCTAAACTGAGTATTGATCAAAAATCTTTATCAACCAAAAAAATTTTAATACTTTTATTACTCTCAATAATGAGAACGTACTAGAGACCAACGATAGAAGAATTAGCCGCAGATGAAAAGAGTACAATGGAAAACAATTACTCTGTTACATTTGAAAGAAACAAATATGCCAAAAAGTTGAAAAGAAACTGTTTCTCCGAAGCAAGCAGTGTGTATCTTTTAAATTCGGCGAAATTCCGGAAAGGAATGCAGCGAAAAACCAGTTAATAAAAGTGGGGATGAAAAATATGCCCTTCTATGATCTTAGACACTTGAGCACACCACAGTATTAATTTAAATTAAACCTACTCACTTGTCCATTTTCATTTCCAGATATATTTCATACACAATAAAAGGATTTCTGATTATGAATTAGACTAGACAACAGTAAAGAATAGATCCTACAACCAAATGACCCTGAACCAGCCAATCATGTGCTTCAAGGTAAAAAGTGGCATTTGTAGTATAAAAAAGTATGTTTCTTGGATATATGTATAACAAAAATGAATTATGTAAGGTATATGTCTCTAATATGCTGAAAAAAGAGGTCTCAGTTTTCCATAGGAGTGAATGACTACAGTAAATAAACTAGAATCTGTATGAGTACTGGTTATAGGATCCACTAATTCTGATGAATGATTGACTCTATGATGAATATAACCCAATGATGATAGTCACATTGCCCAGCATTTCATCAAATGGATATTGTCCATAATAGTCATTGTAAGTTTCAACCTAACCCTAACCATAACTATACTTCAATCCTACCCTAACTGAATCAGGATAAAACTTGCAACCGAGAATACAAAAAGCAATCATCTGTAATGATGACCGATCTGTTTGGCTGGTTCAAGGTCACCCGACTGTATTATCTATTCTTCACTCTTGCCATTAGGATATATATTACCAAATTCCCGCCTATGTAAGTTAAATCATTTCCAGTCTCCCAGTTTTGAAGTTGTTAGCATAAAAAAAAAAATAACTATTGAGAAAACTATCTGATAACTTCAATATTCTGGAGATATTTAATTCGTCTACTTTTTTAATTTCTACATGAAGTTTAACGAACGACTGCAATCACTCTTAATAAACACGACCTATCTGAAGACAATAACTAAAAGCTCTTAACTTAAAATTTAAGTGTAAACTTAAGCAAAAATTATTATTCACAGTAAGACAAGATGAGAAGTTTAAAAAATACAGCACGTCATAAAATTGTTTTGTTTGTACACTAGAATCTATCAAAAAGATATTTTACTGCACTACATTTAACTGAAATATCCTTTAGAGGAATACCTATGAGATACTGATTCATTTATAACAAATTTTAAGTTATGATCAATGCGTAATGGGTTCGAACACTTAGCTAAATGGTGTCACTAGTGGCTATGTCATAGGTGTTGTTTACGGATAAAAGTGTTACGGATGAAATCAAGCATCATTTTTAAAGTACAACACACTTTCGTTTATTTCCATTCCCTTGTTATGCCACTATTCTTACTCTGGTACAAAATATAACAGTTTGAACCAAAGTGCCTCTGTGAAAAATTCTTCTATTTTGTTTTTTCTGTCAGTCTGCATAGTACGTGAGCATGACATACGAATGAAACCTTTAGGATTTTATAGGCAAGTGTAAATGAATTTTTCCACATAACTTCCAGCATGCAAATATTGGATGCTAACACAGGATTTTTTATTGCTGTGTAAATGCTGAGGTCTCCCCAGTTCATATGGGCACAAGGTAAAAAAATAAAATGCCAACCAAAAAAAAACATAATATGCAGGAAATTTCCATTAGAACAAGTAGGTAAAAGAAACTTATAAATCAGAGTAGACACAGTTTGGCGATTCTGTCTACTACAGCTCTTCTATCGCAGCAGTATACAACCTCAGTAGCCGTTCCTTTAAAATCCATAGTTACAATTCCATGTTAGTTTGTTTATTACATATATCACAGAGTGAAACAGTATTATTTACTGGATGACGTTTCGAACAAAATTTATTGTTCATAATCATATCATCAATTATAATCACACGACTTCGAAACTTGAGTTTTATAGTTTTCTTTGTTTTCTCCTATTTGTCGTCGTGGGGGTAGTAGAATTTTCCAGATATCGGGGACAGGTGATGAATCATTCCTATTACATGTATTTGCAGTTGACATTAGATTTTAAAACTGTCATCCTATCCCATCCTATTGCATGGTTGTGTGTAACTGCATGTAGTGCTATAGCTGAACTATTCTCTAGAATAGATACAAAAATCATTACCCCAAATGCTGTGTTTACATAGAGGTAGAAGCGACTACTAAAAATTATGACAAATAAATATATTATCATTCAATACCCATAATCCCTTTTCTATAAAGCGGAAACAATTTTTTTCAGAATCAGTTTGCTTTAATCTCCTTTGAATCGCTGAACCTTAATCTATCAAAATATAAAAACCGGAGATAACAGTAGAAATTCGCATTCTAATATTACTTTAAAGAACTCAGAAACACCTACCTTCACTCAATGGGTAAACAATACTTATGAGTGACACGTTAAATGCCACAGCTGATTTAAGTCCATAAACCCATCAACTGATGTACACCTTTTAAACGTAACTTTACGTTCTCAACTTGCATACTTTAAAGGACAGATTAACGGCCTAAGAAGCCAACATAAGTATCTGGGTTGGAAATGTAAGCAGACTCATGAAATGTCCTATATGATTTCACTGATGGTTTGACCACCTACAACTCATGTTCACACTTATCCTACACCAGCTCGGTCTGCTTTTGAAGAAAAGTAGTGGTTCGACATGCATAACCTAGCAACCTCATTGATCCCCCCCCCCCCTACACTACGGTAGTGTCATGACGAGTCATGTAATGACCGTCTAATGATCCGGAAGTCACTCACCACCAAGCAGGAATTGAATCAACTTATAGTTCACCACCTCGCAATGCGTAGATGTCAATAATCATATGGAATCAGTCTTCTAACAAAGTGAAAATCTGGGGGTTTCTTGTAGATAATTTTGGAACAGCTGTGTAAAACCTTTGCAGAAATGCATGAAAATATCCCCAAGTGGCTATAACTACTACAAAATTGCACCAAAATACACCTTAGTTTTTCCCCGAAACCATTTAGTACAGCATTGTAATGAAGATAAAAACACTCACGTCATATATTTGTTTGGGCGGCTTTATACTTCCATCAGCATAAATGCACTGACCAGATCCCGAATCACATCTGCTACTTTCAGGACAGCAACTCTTACCATCAATGCAACATACTCCCTGATAAATAAGTGGTTCTTATAAGAAACACATCTAACGTACATTAGCATATGGACAACATTTGAAATCTCCAACGCCAACCTCACAGCATGATCCATTTAGACAATGCTTAGGACAAAAGTGTGGTTGCACGAAGCCTACCCAACAGAGTAAGAGGCAAAAATAAACCAAAACCCAATTCATCGCAGAACGATAACTCCCGCCTTCTGAAGGCCTTGGTCACAGCTGTTTCAAACCAACCTATATGTAGTTTTAAAAAGTAGGTTAAATACGGTAGAAGAAACAATAAGGACTCATCTGTTGTTACATCGTTTTTATGATTACTGGGCGATTGCAACGTGGCGCAGATAAAGCCATTCGTTATGATTATTATTATTCCATTTGGTTCCGAGTGGAACATTGAGCTTCAACAACACATCTACACTTTCTTCTATTCATGGCTGTCCTCTTCAGCTGGGAACGCGATTCCGCATAACCTCTCATCTCCTCCTCCAGCTCACACGACCTCCTCCATGTCAACCTCACAATGATGACCCACTCGTCGCTTACCATTCACCTTCCAATCAAGCGGTGGCCTGCACTGCACGCGATGTCATTCGACGGCCTCCTCAGTGGCATATGTCCTATCCATCTCCCTTTTTTCCAACATATTTACTGAGCACTTGGCTCTTCCTGGCCATTTGATCTTCAGGATGGAACCAGGGAAGTGAGCATTTGTTGATATAATTTTGTAACTCACTGAAAATCCTTTCCATGACGCGCAGTGAAAGTTTCTGACCTATATGAAAGACATGACTAACTGAAAATTTGTATTGAAAATTGGAATCTTGTTCTTTGAGCGGGGTTAGTGCAGAAGGTTCCCAAACTGACTTCAAGTTAATAGCCTGCTTTGACATCCTCATCCGTTTCGCCAGCCAGTGGTTGAATCCGTGCTTCCTAACCTAATAGGTAAAGGAAGTAAACTTTCTCAAATATAATAATAATATATATTTTCCTATCAATGTAGGACACACCAGTTGTACAGGCATGGATAAGAATTATTTAAATTACATGAATTTGATTTATAGTGAAATTACATGGTTGCTCTCCTCTCTGACATCAGTTAGTGAGCACATTCTGATAGTTAGTCGTTCAATGGAGCACATAAAGAAATATAGAAATATTGTCTTCGCATTAACAAAAAAACCCAAATATGTGTCGGATAAATTACAAATATTTGGGAAAAAATAAAGCTTGAAGTCAATCCCTCCATATAACTTTGTTGTGTGCGGCATCGTATCTTGTTTTATGTTCAAATTGGGTATTAATATCCCCCATTGAAGATGATTGGTGCTGGTTGTCGTTGCTGTTGCTACTGGTCGGTTGGTTATCTTCGTCACCTCCGTCGTCTCTATGTTCACCTGGGGTCCAATCTTCACTGTCATTGTCTCCTGCCAGTTTGTTGGTTTTCGCCTCCAAGTCTTCGATTTAGCGTGTGTGTGTGTGTAGTCCTGAACATAAATCATCCAAGCGCGAAATCCAGATCTTCTAGAGTCTCTTATTGGTCAGTCCAGCATATTTCTGTCTTATCGCTTCCTACACAGTCTGACGCATAATCCAGTCCACCATAGTTAGGAATATCATCGGTTATAATAGGCGGTGGCCTTGTCTTTCTCCTGTATGCACTTCGAACAACTCGCTGAGTTTTCCGTTGTGGACTACTTGACACGTGGCGTTGTCATATAGCCGGCTGTTTAATGAGGTTGGTAAATACTTGGGCTCTACACGCAGTGTTGAAGCAGTTCCCAAATTACTTCTCGGTCAAGGCTGTCGAAAGCCTTTTCGAAGCCTATGAAGTTGAAGTAGAGATAGGTTCTACTGCTATTCTCTGCTTTGTTCCGTGATGGCGATGCGTAGAGTCGCGATTTGATCAGTACATGATTCACCTTTTCTGAATCCAACTTGTTTCAGGCGGAGTTCTGTATCCAGTGGATCTTTTATTCTCTTCGGTATGATGCAATTTAGTATTTTACTTGGCGTGGAAAACACCTTCACCATCCTCCTCTGCTCTTCTCGATTAGCTTCCAGGTAGGTGTCTGTTGACAGCCATTCCTTGTCTTGTCTGTTCCTTCTTCCCAGGACATTTGTTCATGTTTCCTTGAAGATCACCTTCAGAGAGTTCCAATGATCTCCCACCCAGGCTTCCTCAGTGATGCCACGTAGTGTGTCCGACTTTGCTGTGATATCTGTAGCGAAGGCATCTCTTGTAGTTTTGTCCTTCAGTATCTGAATTTTGAAACTGAATTGTGGTCTGTCTCCATTTGTTTTCATGGATTTCAGCTTCACCTTGAAGGTTCCTTGAACTAGATGATGATCTCAGCCCACATCTGCTCCCCTACTCGACTTTGTATACAGCAGGCTGGGTGCGTCCCCACTTCCTTGAGCAGTATTGAGATGTAATCCACCTGGTTTTTGGTATATCCGTCAGATGAAATCCATGTTGCTTTGTCTATATCCTGGGGCTTGTACACGCTCCCTCCGATCACCAAATAGTTGAAAGAGCAGAATTCTATGAATAATCTTCCATTTTCATTTCACTGAGCCAGAGACTCTCAACTCATGTTTAATTCTCTTCTTGCATTATCTGTTCCCAGTGTGGCTTGCATTTGTATCGCCATGGGATGTTGTCCATTACTGCTTGTTGTTGTCTGTAAAACTCTTCCTTCTTGTCTTGTTCCGTGTTCTTTGTAGGTGCGTAGCATTGGACAATTATGACCTTCCTTCCTTCTTTTGAGTTGAATCTTGCTGTCATAATCCTGGATGAAATTGGTTTCTACTGCGTTAGGGCAATGGCTGCCACTGGTAACATCGTGACAGCCACTCAATGCCTCAGTGTGCTCGCGGTTGTCGTCTTGAGTAGGTTACTGACTCTATCGTTGACAATGTTGACAATTCGCATCCATTCCAACTGCTTTTACAGATACCCAGCACTTGTATGCAGTATCTTCTCATTTCTTTGAGTACCTGGGCAGCCATCCCAGTCTCGTACACTGTACGGACATTCCATGTCCCTATTCTTATTCTTGCTTTCATCTAGAGAAGACACATCGGCTGGCTGACTGTCTTCCCGAAGACTGGTTTTCATCAGTCCGCTGTGTCATTTTCCCTCTCCGATTCCAGCGAAGCATAAGATGGTTCTTTGAATTTTTTGCTTTTCAATATGTAATTAATTTGTTGAAGTTTGTCTAGCGGTTTGTTAGGTTTAGTGATGTAGGGTTACTAGCCATACGCCCAAACATCCCTCGTTTACCGGAATTAGGACCGGCTAGAAGACTAGAAAGCTAGTTAACTAAGCGAGGTTTGATGGTTGGGTGGCAGCTTTTAAAAACTTGAAGTACATTAATCATAAAATAAACAACAACAGCACTCATGTTTGAGAATAACTTTATTTTCATAGAAAACGTCATAGTTTTCTACGGTAAGACCAATATGGTTAGCATCATACATTGCAAATGTGCACTATCATATCAAGTACTGTATAGCTTATTCTTGTATTTTTCTTGTAAATATACTTCCAATAATGTATTATTCATGATTGCATTTTATACCACTTTGTAGCTGTGCAGGATTTTCTCCTCTTCCTGAAATAGCGTTCAAGCGCGTGGTTGTCGCTCAACTTCGATGGAAACCTTCGTGGAAGATTTACAAATTAATAATTATAAGAATCTGTTCCGATTGCTTGTACTGTATAATTCAACAATTTGAACTTTAAAAAAGTGATAATCTTACTATTCCTTGTAAACGTTGTACTTACCTCAATATTGGTTGGCTATCGTATGTCTACATCTACGGGTTGAAAACGAAACGAAGTCGATTTTCCTGCGCAACCTGGAGGACTACTGTTTAATTCAATAATGATTCGACATGGGTCAGACAATGAGTGTATTTATATATATCAAATATTTAGCTGTTCAAACATTATTAACTTGTAGACAATCTACTATTTGTCATTATATCATACTTGATCGTGCCTGTAAAAATGGCATGCATTTTCATGTAAATTTATGTTTATATGAAAATATAAATTATTATTATTATTTGTTATCACAGATGATAAAAGTGTCACCGACGTATCTTTTCTACAGTGCGAAGTTAACGATTGTCGGTTTCTACGGACCATTTTCCAAATTCGCCATGAAAATATCTGCAAGTAACGGGCCTAAGGGTGAACGCATAGTCATTCTGTCTTGCTGTCTATAAATAGTATCACTGAATGCGGATTTAACGTTCAGTTTGCATCTCAGTTTTAGTTCTTTTAACTTGGGTGTGGGTATTCAAATATTCAATATTTCGGATGGTATGGAGATCGGACATGTCCAAAGTAGGGCGCAACTGCAGTCCCTGGTTTGGGGGATCCACATAGTCCAGGTATTACTGAATTGGTAGGTCGAATGCCCTTGTAGACCTTGTCAGATATAAGTTGATCACTTTGAAGCTATCTCAATATTCCAGTGAGTTGAATTTAAGTCATTTTTTGTCTTTCTCGTTGTCAGGTGCAATGAACTTGTTGTTGTCTCAAAGAATTGCTTACATTTTATCAGTATAGTCCTTTCTATCTATTAGGACTATGTCAGTACCTTTATCAGGGCCTGTGGTCAGCAATTCCTTGTTACGCCCCAGTTGGTTGAGCTGTTCTATGTGTTCTTTCGTCAATAGATTATTGCGCTCAGATGTTTTACTTGGGTACTCATGGCATGTGTCTAAAATTGTTGACCAAAACGTTTGAAATCCTCCTCAGAATCTAAGAAAAATCACTAGTCTGATTAATCAAATTTTCGCACTCTGCATATGCATGAGGCTTGCAGATGTTTTGGTCCATGTCGCAGAATTTCGCACCGACAGAAAAGGCCTTCAGTTGTATAGGAGATGAAGTTGCTGAAGAATGACTGAGAACAAATTTAGCAGGATCTTCGGGAATTTCGCGTCGTATTTTAATAGCTTTTAGGCTACTTAATAGGTTTGAATGAGGGATTTTCTCAGGGATTGCATAAATTACCATAGATATCCGAAGTAGTGTCGGGAAGGCCTTCGTAGCAATCATATTTATCTTAACTCTAAATGTCTGAAACGTTACACTTTGAAACACATCGATTCCATTCTTTCACGTGTCCCGCAACTGGAGAGAAACATAACAAGACGATCACCTGCGTTATGTGAATTTTCAAGTGATGAACGCCAAGCATATGAGTATGGTTACGGAG